CAATGCAGGCCCTTAGAGGCCAGCATCGGGTCTTCAGCAGCCAATGCGGGGCCCTCATTGGCACCTAAATGTTCGTCTTGGGACACCAGAGACAGCAATAAGGCCACTAGAGACCGGTGTGAGACCCTCAGACGCCGGTTGGGGCCCCTGAGGCCGGTAAGGGGTCCTCATAGGTCAGATGTGGGGCCTCAGAGGTCGATGTGGGCTCTTAGCGGTCAACGTGGGCGCTTGACCGCCACTGAAGTTCACTCAGAGGTCAGTGTTGGACGCTCAAAGACCGGTGTGGGCGTGTTTTTTTAGCCTCGTGACGATCGAATCAGGGCCAGGGTCCCATACACCTATGGGGCCCATCGGTTGCTTGAGGGGGGGGGGGCAAATGATATGATGGCCCCCTTTATGTGCCTTGGGAGGGCATGGCCCTGATGCCCCCCGCGACCGCCACTGTGTACACATTGCATACAGGCCTCTGAAATTACATACTAGCTAATGCAAACTCTATGCAGGCCCCGGAGATCCCACGCTAATCCTTAAGAAACCAAGCCGGCATACGGCGTCACCACCGGGCTTCTGAGGTGCACAGCACCAACCCATGAGGTCTTACTTTAGTGTCTTGGAGCCAATCTCCTTTAGCAGGGCCCACCCGCCACTGCCGAAGAGGGTCTCATGCCAGCCATTGCTGAATGCTGGGCCTACGAGAGCCTCAAGTAAGCCCACGCTGATATTCCATGTAAGATGCGGCCATACTCGTGAACCGGTGCCAGCGACGCTGACCGCCAAATTGACAGAATACCAGAGCCTATTTTAAGGGAATTTGACTGGGGGGGGGGGGGGGCAACCTGGAAAATTGTCTCTTATAATCCATCAACCCTCGCCCGTATTGGTATTTTCCAGCTGCGAACGTATATGGGGGGGGGGGGGGTCCGTTGGACCTTCCCCCTTGCCGTTTCGACCCTGCTCGAGCTAGAGCTTCGTGGAAAAAACGACCGTGTTGCCCGTGATGAAAGGAAGCCGATGATACCCAATTTTAACCCTCGCCGACCCTCGCCGACACAGGGGGGGGGGATTGATGCAACCCCCCTAAGGTTTTTTCGCGAATAACTCGCGTAAAAAGCTGCCGATTGCAACGAAACTTTCAGTACCCTCGCATTTATCAATTTTACACCTACCCTGAAAATTTCATGACCCTGACCCAAATGACCTTTGACCTGTGACCTACTTTCCGAGACCATGTTTGGCCGGAATCACGATTCGGCGTATGTCGACTCGCATTAGCCGCGCTTTTGCAAGCTTTTCGTGCTTTCAAACGTTCAAACATGTGATTTGATGTTGCTCCCATGCATTAGGGTGGATGTCAAGGTCACCTGAAGGTCAGGTCAGGTCAGTGACCTTTGATGACCTCGGTTCACTTTTTCGAGTTTTACATGTTTCTAGGCCAGTTTTTGGAGCTGAATTCGAATTTAGCAGCCCGATGAACATTTACGAAGCCTAGTTTTAGTGCCTTTGTAACATGTTACGAAGCTGTCAGAGGCGGTTGACACCTACTAGGAATACCCGGCAGGACCCCTACTGGTTGACCTGACCTGACCTGACCCGACCTGGACTAAATGCATGAAGACATCATCTGTGATCAAAACTCACATATCATTCGGATCAGCACCCCGAAAAACCCCATAGCAGCCACACTTTACGACGTTCTAACAGGTCCCGATTTTCCCGATTTTCGGGTCATTGACCTGACCTGGAAGGTCACCCGATGACCTAGGACATTAAAATTGGATATCATCGGCTTCCTCTCGTGACGGGCAGCACGCTCGTTTTTTCCGCGAAGCTCTAGCTCGATCAGGGGCCAAACGCGAGGGGGGGGGGGGGGTCGTACCAACCTCCCCTTGTGCCGTCGAAGGACGCAAAATGGCCTGTGCCGGCGAGTGTTAAGGTCCTAGGTCGTCATCACTTGACCTTCCAGGTCAGGTCAATGACCCAAAAGTCGGGAAAATCGAGACCTGTTAGAGCATCGTAAAGGGTGGCTGCTATGTTTTTTCGGGGTGATGATCACGAATATCACGTTAGTTATGATTAAAGATGATGTCTTCATGCATTTAGGCCAGGTCGGGTCAGGTCAGGTCAGGTCAACCAGTAAGGGTTTTGCCGGGTGTTCGTAGTAGGTGGCAACCGCCTCTGACAGCCTCGTAACATGTTACGAAGGCACCAAAACTACTTCGCAAACGGTCAAATGGTTGCTAAATTCGAATTTAGCTCCAAAAACTAGCCTAGAATCTTATAGAACTCGAAAATGTGAACCGAGGTCATCAAAGGTAAATGACCTGACCTGACCTTCCGGTGACCTTGACACCCACCCTAATGCATGGGAGCAACATCATATCCCATGTTTGAACGTTTGAAACCACGAAAAGACTGCAAACGAGCGGCTAATGCGAGGCGACATGCGCCGAATCGCAATCCCGGCCAAACATGGTGCCATGGTGCTAGGCCGCCGGTGCATCTGAAAGAACTGTGGGTGCCCCTGACAAGCCTGAAGTTCCAACGACAGGCCCGTGGTGCCCCTGACAGGCCCATGATGCCCTTGCGAGGCCGTTGGTGTCCCTGCTAGGCCGGTGGTGCCTCTGCTAGGCCGCTGGTGCCCCTGGGCCCTGAGAGGACTGTGGTGCTCCTGACAAGCCTGGAGTGTCCCCGACAGGCACGTGGTGCCACTTACAGGCCCAAGATGTCCCTGCGAGGCCGGTGGTGCCCCTGCCAGGCATGTGGTGTCCCTGCTAGGCCTCTGGTTCCCCTGACAGGCCTGTGGTGTCCCTTGGCCCTGACAAGCTTGAGGTGCCCCCGACAGGCCCGTGGTGTCGCTGACAGGTCCGTGGTGCCCTTGCTAGGCCTGTGGTGCCTCTGGCAGGCCTGTGGTGCCCCTGGCGGGCCTGTGGTGGTATCCCTGACAGGCCCAAGGTGGCGCCCCTGCGAGGCCGGTGGGGCCTCTGGCAGGTCTGTGGTGCCCCTGGCAGACCTATGGTGCTCTTCCTAGGTCGATGGTGCTCCCAACAGGTCTGTGGTGCCCCTGACAGGCCGGTGGTGCCCCAGGCAGGCCTGTGGTGTCCCCGGGCCAAAGGGGGCGGGGGTCATAACCCATATGACCCACCATTGGATCCACCACTGGTCATTACTTGCAGACTGACTCATTTGACATCCATTGCAAAACAAGTCACAGTTGTACCGGGTGTTGCAGCTAAATTGGGACAAAGTTCGTAACCTAATCACAATTTTGTTATTTGGAGGATATGGCTGAAAATTTGACATGATACTATTTCAACAATGCTCTTTCACGTGCTAATATTTTTGATGCACGAAAACCGATAACAGTCATGGAGGAACAGCGTAGATGTACAGTTGCTGAATTAGTTCGCGCTGGACAAAGCGCGAAAGAGATCGTTATCGCAACAGGATACCCGAAGTCTACGGTATATCGCACTGTCGCTACTATGGACGGTGGAGGAGATGTCAGTAGACGTCCCCATGCGCCGCGAAGTGACCGCAAACGGAATCCTCGGTTTCTCGCGGGCTTGAAAAGGTCTATTGAGGCCAAACCAGGTGTCTCAATGCGTAAGCTAGCGCGAGACCGAAGGGTGAGCAAAAGCACCATTAGCAGGGCTGTCAAGGAGAACCTCGGGATGAGGTCGTATAGTAGGAAACGGCAGAACCTTCTGACGGAGCGTCTAAAAGCGTTACGGAAGGAGAGGGTCCCGATGGTTCTGAACCAGCTCAAGAACCATGGAGGAGACGTGAGAGTCTTTGTGGACGAAAAGAAGTTTGTGGTAGACGAAGTTGCCAACCGCCGGAACTCAAGAGTCATCGCCTCGAACCCCGGTGATGTTCCACCAGTGATGATAAGCAAAAATCCAGCCTCTGTGATGGTGTTCGGAGCCGTCGCGAGCGACGGTCGCGTCATGCCCCCTCACTTCATACCTGCTGGAGAAAGAATCGGCGCAGAGGAGTATCTGGCCATCTTAGAAGAAGTGCTTTTGCCCTGGATGGCGAAGTACTACGACCTGAAGAAAGTCACACTTGTACAGGACTCGGCTCCAGCTCATGCTTCCCGGAGGGTGCAGGATTTCCTTAGTCGGAAGATCCCTCTGTATGTCCCAAAGGATACGTGGCCTCCAAACTCACCCGACCTAAATCCGTGCGACTTTTGGATGTGGAGCGCGATTGAGGAGAGGTCCAACGCACGTGCCCATGACAGCATCTCGAGCCTCAAGAAGTCCATCAAGAAGGCAGCCAGCAGCATCGATCCTATGGAGGCTCAGCGCGCGTGCGGCGCGTTCCGACGCCGCCTGGAGATGGTGAAGGAGGCTCATGGTGGCCACATTGAGTGAGAGGGTAGAGAACATGTGCGTCAATACACGTTCAAAGTTTGAAAGCTCTGTCTCTTCATTCTACTGAGTTATGCCACTTTAAGTGTAAGCGGGAAAAATTCCCAATTTAGCTGCAACACCCTGTATGTTTGTCACCGTGTTCCTTTATGCCCATTTTTATAGTGGGCACATCTCGACGACTGGGGGGGGGGGGGCAATTCTGTTGAGTGCGGGGGCATTTGCCCCCCAGTTAACATGTTAAAATAGGCCCTGCAGAATACGAAACTGAGTCCACTCATGAGTGAAATTTACGTCCTTTGATGGCGCAAGAAAGAAAATGAAACATACAAAAAGTTTTTCTAGGACTTTTGTTCGATCTGAAAGGTGGGGCCAAAAGATAGTATGGCCCCACCTTTCAGCACCAAAGGGGGGGCCATGGCCCCCGTGGCCCCCCCCCCCCCCCTGGGACGGGACCGCCAGTGCTCCCAGCGGACCCAGCGTATTCAAGTTAGAATTTAGTATTTCAAGTTATGAAGTTAGTATTTCGTAGCCTTGTCTATTTCGAGCCCAGGGGTATTTGACGACGAAATCAGTGCAGTTGAGCGCAACTCCTTGCGCATTTTATTGTTGCATTTTGATTGCATTTTTAGTTTTATTGGTTTTATTATACGCGCAAAGTGGATGGTGTCTAATGGTTCTTTTTTGGACGAGGACGGAAGATGTGATCAAAAGCGGTTGTTTTATGAGCAGACGCATTCAAACTTTATTTCAATAATTTCATGTTTGCGGGTGAGTGAACAAATCGTAGATCGAGATACCTCATACCTATATCAATATATCATGATATAAAAGCGATCATTTCAAAGCATTGTGATTGTGGAAAGGGTTGAGGTTGAATTATTTACCTTTTTTGGTTTTTATTGTTTCGAGCTTAATTTTTTGTCTGTAGTTCATTATCATTAGCTTTTCTGGCAGGCCATGTTCCCTACTAATCAGAGTGCAAAGTATGGCAAACTGCTAGGCGCTAGCTCAGTTTGGGGCGTTTGGGGAAACTACGAGTCGAAGATCCAAAAATTGATCGGTCAATAAATATACTTTTGATGACCATCTATGGACATGAATGCAGCCCTTGCTACTACGGGTGAAAAACTGTAGGATGTGCCGGTACCTGCGGTATCGCGTCCACTTATCGGAGAGAAAAGGCTTCCATTTTCTGCTAAGAATTAACGTGATTTGATTAAATTTGACAAATTCACTTGAAAATGGCGATAGGAAAATGGCTTCTGCAGGTTCTGGGCGTCACAATCAGCTCGCCATTCCATTAATGGTTCAGTGTTTTGAAAGAAAAGTGTTAAAAGATTTAATTTAATTACAATAAATTAAGATATTTAATTTTAAAATAATAATCCAACCACAATTGGAAAAGCCATAAACAAAATAATAAAAATAATGACATTTTAAAACTATGGTGCTGCTTACATTTTTTGGCACGTTGTTGTTTGTTTGTCTCTCTGTATGTTTTGTTTGTTTGTTTGATTGATTTTTTTCGTAAGAAATGATGCAAGAGTCTATATCAATTGGCCAACACTCATTTTTGAAGCTAAAGAGGAAAGATAATCAGCCTTGACTGCCTATTGTGTGTACCTAGTGTAGGTACTGTAAATATTCAGCAAGGTTCAAAAAGCTTTTGTGTTTCCAGGTAATTGGTCTGATAGCAAGATGTGTAAAACTTCAGGCCGTGGACATGCTCATTCATTGAGGACCAGAACCCTGGTGTGATTTCCTGGCAAAAACACTGCCGGGCAGGACTGAGGCCCTCAGCCCGGGTTTCTTGCCTGCGCATACACCTCAGGCCACCGCACCACAAGCAGCATTCATACCACCACTTCAGAGTTTGGCCGACTCATGAATCGCTCAGCTGGCGACATGACCTCCAACTGGAGCGACCCCTCGGTGCTGGACGGCTCGGCAGCAGCGCTCCGTCAGCTGCTCACCCCTGCCCAGGTGACGTCCGGCGCCGGTCCCGGCGCGGCCGAGCCTCTCCCCTCCACCGCCTGGGTGGAGGCGTGGCTCAGCGGCTGTGTGCCGGGACGAGACGGGGCTGAGACGGCCTCTACTCGTGTAGAGTCCACCCCGGCGGCCGATGGAGCGGATGCCGATGAAGTACGCTCGACGAAGAGTGATAGTGTGTGCTACCAGCTGCAGCCGATTGGTGTATTCTGGGACATCGAGAACTGCCAGGTGAGTGTTTTGGACTGCGGGTTTCGGAAATACCACGTTATCGGATGTAAGTTTACCGATGAATAGCTAATTTGGGAGGGAAATGTATTCTGGGACATCGAGGACTGTCGACTCACCGATGAGGCCTACTGCAAGGTCAGAATCTGGGGGCTGCTTTTACTGGTCAAAAATTGTCACATGACTGCTGAAGGCTTGTGGGCTGGGAGACCTTTTCTGCCTTCATATGGGGCGTTCCACGACAAATCGACAAGTGCCCTGCACCCTCATATTTTATTTTTTGCTTAAAATTGGTCATATGGGTTGTGATGAGCGGGGAAGCCAGCTGTGGCAAGGATTTTTTTTCTTCGAACAACGGTTTCCGAGATATAGCCTCGGGCAATTCCTGGAGGTCGCGCTGCAGCCCTATGTTTGGCGGCCTATAACTCAGAAACTATTGGTTTTCTACGATAAAACTTTATATGGTTCAACTCACAATCAACCAACAAACATTTTGGCTATCTCGGATTTTCAATTTTTGAAAATTTTGATCACGTGACCTTTGACCTATTTTTCGAAGAGTGACCTTGATATTTTCCCCACTGAAAGCTGCAATTTTGTTTGAAGACGATTAAAGCCTTATCAATTGTCATTCATATGCGAAAATAAAAAAGTGGCTATCGCCCTGCGTTGACCTCATCAGGTCATTTTTATGACCTGTCTATTATTACGAGCGGGAGCGACAGCGAGATCTCGAGAATAAAGCAAGATAGCGACAAGCGGTAAACGGTGCAGGGTACAAACGGATAAGGTCTATAATTTTTACTGAGGTCATTTTCTGGTCAGGTCAAAGATGACGTCACAGGAGCAAAAAGGAAGTCAAAATTGCGGCACTACATATATATGAAGTTTTTCTCGAATAACTTTCAAGGTATCCCAGCTAGGAACAAACTAATAGCACCATCGCGATCCTCTCGTCGATCCGCATCGATGCATATGTATGTTGACCTCGAAAGGTCGAAAGGTCAAAAGTTGACCTTAGGTGAAGGCTTTAATCGTCATCAGACAACATTGCAACTTTCAGTGGGGAAAATATCAAGGTCACTCTTCGAAAAATAGGTCAAAAGGTCACGTGATCAAAAATTTCATAAATTGAAAATCCGAGATAGCCAAAATGTTTGTTGGTTGATTGTGAGTTGAACCATATAAAGTTTTATCGTAGAAAACCGATAGTTTCTGAGTTATAGGCCGCCAAACATAGGGCTGCAGCGCGACCTCCAGGAATTGCCCGAGGCTATATCTCGGAAACCGTTGTTCGAAGAAAAAAAAATCCTTGCCACAGCTGGCTTCCCCGCCCATCACAACCCCTTACACCAGTTTTCAACGAAAAATAAAATATGAGGGTGCAAATTTAATTTTTTATTTGTCGATTTGTCGTGGAACGCCCCATATGTCTGGTGTGAAAATATGAAGATGCCAGATGTTGCAGTCAATCAATCGTGCGTGAATGGTGTGCTCTAAGCTGGCTAGTGGCGTATTAAATCATTTGTCCTATGACATTGGACACATCTCTGGGACTGTCTGCTACTTCTTTATCAGTTATCCTCGCGATATCTTGTAGCTCGTCACACCAACTCTAATACCTACCGTTGCGATGAATCTCGACTCTGCCTGACCCATCATGTGCTGCGTTTCTGTTGCTAACCTCTCGCCCCCCCCCCCCCATCATTCAGGTACCGCGTCGTTGTTCTGCCGGCGATTTCGTCTCGCTGATACGGGACCATTTCTACGCTAACTGCTGGGAGGCCGAGTTCATGTGTGCCTGTGACGTCAGCAAGGTATTCCCGGCCACCCTGCAGCAGCTGAACGACGCACAGGTGAGGGAACGAGGCCAGTAAATTGAACACGGCGACGTCAAGGCCATGGCATACATATGGTCCATAGTTCATGCACATGACTCGTACCCATTCAATTTGAGAAAGTCGTTTTTGAGAAAGTCGTTTCGAAGTTAGCCGTTATGTGTCGTTGATTATCGCCTGATTCTGAACTCTGATGCATGTCATAAGTGCCACTGGCTAGTGGCTCAGACTATCCAGCAGCAGTATCCTGAGCTCAGGCCGGTACTCGACCTAAGGCCTATTCCATTACCCGTGCCTTACCTGTTGCCCATACATTTGCAACATGGGTGTGGGACATTGTTGCTGAACGCGTGCTTTGCCGCGCGTACATCTATCACCCCTGTCCAGTGCTGGAAATGAGGCCGCTTTCTGGTCCCGGCGTTTTATTCTCCTGGTGGGTTAGCCCCATCTAGCGCTTAGCCTTACGGGACCTTCTCAGGGCTGCGGCTGTTTTTGCCGCTCGGCCCATTCGAGATGCAAAGTTGATAGTCACACAAAGTTTATTTGGGGCATCTGAATATACGACTTCGAAATTAATCGATTCAACAAAACCTTTTTCCTTCATCTATATGCATACATTAAACAGTAGCCACAGACAAGGCTGGTTTAGCTGACCCTAAATAAGCTTCGTTTGACTATCAACTTTGCATCTCGACTGGGGCGAGCGGCGAAAACAACCACGACCCTGAGTGGGTCCTGAAAGGCTAAACGCTGGACGGGATAAGCCCGCCTGGAGAATAAAACGCCGGGACCAGAAAGCGGCCTCATTTCCAGCACTGCCCCTGTCCCCGTTCCGTTCCGTCTGACGGACTGACAATGACAAGTTTTGCCCGTCCGCGTTTTCTGAAGTGAGCACCACGCATGTCGTTCACTGATAAGATCTGACAGTTCACCTCTCTTCCGGTTTCCACCGGTGGTTTATTATAATGTAACCTATACAGGCAGATGAGAATATATGAAGTTGAAGTAGATATTCAGCAAATAAATAATTCTTACCTTTCTTTCAACCTCTTACCTTACAGGTGAGCGTGATGCACGTGCCAGCCACCAGTAAGAACGCCGCCGATGAGAAGGTCAAACAGAGCCTGCGGAGGTTCTCTGACCAGTACCCGGCTCCGGCCACCGTTCTGCTCATCACTGGAGACATGAACTTCGCGCCCGATCTCAACTTCCTCAAACACAGGTCAGTGCGGGGGCAGTGTCACAATGTGTCAAAAGTCCGTGTCAGTTGGCGTGGTTCTCAACGGAGACTGGCTTGAGGGCTGGCTAAGTATTGTCAGCGATCACGTGCTATTAGGACGTGCCATGTATCGGGCAATTAACAAGAGTCCTAGCTAGCAATATAGCAATGGATGTTTATAATACTCCTAGTTCTCCATTGTTTTATTCAATGGAGCATGTGATGTGGAAATACTGGGACGAAATTAGTTCAGCGACACTGACTCGTTAAAGTTGTTTTCGGCCGTTCTTTGAATATGGCTGAGTATGCTGCTTCACTAACATCTAAGTAACTATTTTCTGACGTACTTTCACGCGTGTGCTATTTTTGCACGCCCCTATCGCTTCACATACCGTTAGTACCTATTTGATTGTCTGCTCATACGGTCACCCACAATCACCATGGACTCATAATGACCGTATAAGTCATGTCATGAAAGCCCAATAAGTAACAATAACAGTCATACCCTTCCCATAAACCTCATCGCTCTCACCTGCAGCTGGCAACTTTGTCTGCCCCTCCCTCTTCACCAACCGGGTCGTAATTTCAGGAAGAAGCACCGTGTCATCCTGATCCACAACAGGCAGGCACGACCGGCACTGCTCAACTGTGCTGATGAGCGACACCTCTTTGACGACCTCTTGGCGCAGCTGCCAGACAGTCGGCCACAACAGGTTCAGGTCAGTGGAACGGTGGCTGTCCACTGGCTAGGCGCCCATTGATTCAGCGTGTAGTCGTTGAGCGGATGTTACGCGCTGAATAGTGGAATTTAACTCGTCAGCGGGTGATTCGGCGCCGACCAGCCGCCGAATAAGCAGCGGACTGCGCTTCATCGCGCATTCGGCGCCTAAGATCGCAGTCCGTGTGCAGCCCATAGTATGCAATATAAAGTTCAACGCACATGTGTTCGCCAATGGCCTAACATCGCAATTGGACAGCGACATTTGGAGTCTGATATGTACCATCGCTCTCCAAAATACTAGAGTAACTCCTTTACAAGGCGATAGGCCGTTGGGTTCGTCAAACGTCAGTGTCAACGTCTATATTTAGATCGATTCCTGATGCTCCCTCGCTGAAGCTGGTCTTTTCTTTGACAGGAGGCACGATCGGCCGACCGACTGTGCTGCCATCTGCGTCTGACCGGTCTCTCGCCCAACGGCCGGAAGTCCAAGGTGGTGAACGAGATTCAGAAGCTGGTTTATAACTGTGGAGGAAGAGTGGAGCGAGTCAATCTTCCTGCTGGAGAGGCCATCGTCGTCTTCCCGTCGCCTAGCAACGCAGCCAGGTGAGTCGTGTTGCTTGCCTAGCAACGCACTCCAGTGAGAGTTATTGTCTAGTAACGCCGCAAAGCGAGTTCTGTCGCGTAGCAACGCTGCTAGTTGAGTCTGTTGTCTAGCAACGCTTTCAGTACGAGTTGTCGCCTAGCACCATCGCCAGGTGAGTTCGGCCGCCTAGCAACGCCCCCCCCCCCCCCCCCCCAGGGAGTCTTGTTGACTAGCAACGCAAATCAGTGAATCGCGTCGGCTAGGAACGGTACCAGTTTAGTAATGTTGCTTAGCGAAGCTACCCAGTAAATCGTGTTGCCCAGCAACGTTGCTTTATGAGTTCTTCGTTTTGCAACACGCCCGTTGAGTTCTGTTGCCCACCGTTTATTGACGTAACTGCCGTTTGTTGATGACGATTCTGATAGACTGGTTTTCTAACGTATCGTTTCGTGATTATTATCCAAAACAACAAACACGCCCTGAGTCAGAACCGTCAATGTTGAAGTTTTTCCCTTTTCAGCAGACTTTTTTCTTTTTCTGTCTTTGGGTAATATTTAGCTTGGTGATCATGGCAAACAAACAAATGCATGTCACTTTAGCTCAATACCAAAAGGGATTCTCGCAAGATTTTGTTTGTGCTGCATGCAGGGTGTCCCGAAATTGATGCGCGGTTGGTGCCGCATGTTATGTTGTCCCTCCCGAGTGCTGAACAACTGCAATTTTACCGGCTCTGGCACCACGGACATCTTGCTGGTCACACGATCACGTGAACCAAGCGGCTAACCCGACCGCGGCCGGTAGTGGGCGCGGGAGGCCACTCTTGTCCAGACAGGCAACGTGGAGAAACCGCCTATCACCAAAAGTGAAAAGGCACAAACTACCGATCCGCTACCGCGCGGTGGGGATGATCAAGGACGGTGTGACCCAGGTTCCGGATGCCAGAGAATTTGGCGTCAACTCTGCGACAATTAAACTTTGCATGGACTGCAAACGATCAGGAGAGACACTCAAGAACAGCACAGTTCGAGGGCGGAAGACTGCCTTCAGCCGAGTGGCGAAAATCGTGATTGCAAAGTCGACCTTTAAAAAGCACCATTCAACATCGCTGACAAGAAAACTGAATGAGATGCATGTCTCAGCATCCAAATCGACCCTCCACCAGTATTTGAAGACTATCTTGAAGCTGAAGCTGCTCAGCTTCAGGATGCAGACTTGGCCTACCGTGGTCCAGAAGTGCAGGCAGCTGGATTTCGCGAAGACCCACAAAAACTGGACCATTCAGGACTGGAGATGCGTCCTTTTCAGTGACAAGGTGCCCTTTGTGGTCTCTAAGCCCCTAACTGCCAAAACGATCGAAATGTGGGCCAACGGCAGCTCTGAGGAGTCCGCTGTCGAGACGGTGAAACGTCTGCTGAAGAATCTCATTTGGAGCATTATGAGCTACAGAGGCGCTCTGAGCTTCACGAGGTGCCTCGGGGACAGACCGTGACTGCTTATTACTATGTCAACGAGGTGCTGAAGAAGACTGATGCCACAAAGATGCTGAGGGAAAAGGTAAATGGTTCAAAAACCAGACTCAAACTTTTGTCGGACATGTCCAGGGCCATTTTCCAGCAAGAAAGGGCTCCAGCTTATCACGCCAGGAAGACCCAGGACTGGTGCCGAGCGAGGCTCCCAGGCCTCTGGGAGAAGGGGACATGGTCTGGCAACAGTCTGGACCTGTCCCCGATCCAAATTATCTGGACGCTCGTCAGAAAAGAGCTCAGCAAGCTTCCACGGGCTAGCTCAGAGAAGAGGTTGTTTCAGAAGATATAAACGGCATGGCGTTGTTTCAAAGGAGAGACTCTTGACAACCTGAAACGTGACACGCTTAAGTGCAATAGGCCGTGTATGCAACTGAATGGGGACTATGATAACATATAAGCCGTGAAATAAATTCGAGCACTTTATAAGTTTTTGAGGATAGAACAACCGCGCATCAATTTCGGGACACCCTGTAGGCCTGTTTGCTTTTATATGCATGTATGTGCAATGTGCATGCATGTTGTATGTATCGTGGATATGTATATTGTATATGAATACATACATCATGTTGTCATCCGTGAATATATTCTTGTGTACATTTCTGTACCTGTGTAGTGCTGGGCCTCGTTTCATAAAGCGAGTCCGTAACTTACGGCGGTTTTTGGTCTTGTATTGCAAGTGCATGTGAAGCGATGACGTTAGTTTGATTCGTTGAATTTATTTGTCTTGCAAGCAAGAACAGAAGGGAGAAGTGGAAATACATTTATCGATTTATCGCTTCACATGCACTTGCAATACAAGATCAAAAACCGGCGTCTCGCTTTATGAAACGAGGCCCTGGACGCATCAACAGTAATTGAAATCATGGATGTATACTGGAAATTTAACCTGAAATTTTGTCGTAAAATACCGCTTTATGAACTGATAGTCTTGGGCTCATAACTGAAGTTTTTTACAATGCTGTCTTCTAGTGGTTGTCATTTTACGCTAGTGTATGTAGGTGTTCAAATAAATGTCTGTTGACATGGTGCCAAAGTTTTTTTTGGCTAGTTTTTGGCCGAAACTTTGGTGAAGTAACGTTCCAAATTTTGGTATATTTTTCGATAGTAACAGACTAACTTCTCACGGACAATATGAAAATAGTTAGGAAGGATATGCAAGAAGTTTCACGTCAAAAACAACTTAAAGGAAATAGTTCACTTTCACGAAATATTTTTTTTGCAACGGATTTATGATTTTTTATGTTCAAAATAATCAGCAAAGAAAATAAAACCTTTTTATAACAAAATATTATTTTCTATATTTTGATATAGGAAGAACTTTTCAGTTTCTGTAAGGCTCACGCGATCCAGTATGAAAAGAGCATGGGTCCCGAAAATTCTTCAGAAACAGAGAAATTATCGCAGCCACCGGCATTTGGGCGATCTGCTCGATCTGATAATGTTCCCCTGAATGTCCTAATTGATCAGTACGAGAATTTCTCTAGAGTTCTCGTAGATAATTTCTCTAGTTTCTGAAGAATTTTCGGGACCCATGCTCTTTTCATACTGGATGGAAATATATGCAAGGCACACATCCTCAACGTGAGACACCTTTTTCGGGACGAGAAATAGAATATCTTTGCCTAGGGTGATCGTTGGGCCGTAAAAGCTCCTGATTTATGCTCGTCTCAGCCCAAGCTACGGAACTGCTATTCCAGTTCAAAACCCATGTTAAAAAGTGAACTATTTCCTTTAAGTTTTTGAGATGTTATGAAGGGGGGCATAAATGCCCTCTCTCCTCCCCCAGGAAAGGGGCGTGCTAACTGCTAACATTGCCATGTTGGTAATGCGTTGTCCCTGCCATTCATCCATGACTGAGTTCAAATCGTCATTAACAGTGGGTTGCATTTAACCTGAAAATTTGCATCTCGCGGCGGTTCGCCGGGTTTCTATGTCAATAGCACCGCTACCTCCCCATATTGTGCCGGTAATATGACCCTTACACCCAGCTCGCCTCTCCATTGGCTGCCTTGAATCGGGCTCGCCTCTGATTGGCCGGTCGGTCCCCAAGGCCAGCGTCTATTGCCCGAGGCTGCGTCTGACCGGTAACGCACGCGGCGGCGCTCGGCGGACGTTCAATCTCTAGCGCGGAGACAAGGCAGGAACTTCGTGCCTTTGTGGCGCATTGTTGAGCGCGTTAGATATCACGTGATTGGCATGTGTGTATTGTGTTGAGTTGGGTAGGATAAGCGCGATTTGGGAAGGTGAGTTGTGACTTGTGAGCTCGTCTTATGATGCCTTGAGATGTGTGAGCTGTGAGTTCAAACTTCTTTTTAAAAACCACAACACGGTGTGCGATACTGGCACGCGTTGTGGTATCAACGCGAGGGGAATTTGACAGCGAGGCCGGGGCTGCGGTTTAGTAAAAAATGCGTTATTTGCCGTCGCAGCATATTATTTTTGAGATTTTTTTTCCTGCGGTTCATATGGTTACATAATTCATGTAAATAGGCGCATAAGTACCCCGCCGTCGAGGCGCCCTAAAACCCTAACAAACAATGATAATTAATGAAGCTTACAACACTGATTGGTGTGGTGTTCGATGGCCGTATTTGTCGGTACCTACTCTGCTCTGCTGAGCCAGTCATGAATGGAATCTATTTGCTGACTTTTTTGCCCATTTTTGGTGAAGATCACGATCCGCTTGTTTGTTTACACTTACGAAAATCTGAATAGGTCAGCAATCTGACATGTCGATAAAAATGGTCAATTAAATGCCAAATGCCTATATCTACAAAGTGGTGCTGGCTTCGACCCTATTCTGTCGGTTACCTGCTCAATCTAATGACTCCGTTCCCCGCTACGATCCAGTGACGTCATTCTCTCCGTTTCGCCAGGGCCAAGCACCGGCTGCACCATGTTGTGATCTGCGGCTCACAGACGTATGTGACGTTCTACTACAAATCGAGCGGGCGCTCCTCCCGACAGGGACTGCGCTCAGATATCGGTGAGTGCCAGGACTGTCCCTCGTAGATTGATGGGCGTTTGATTGATCTGGGCGACTTTGAAAGTAGGTGTCTTATATCCTAAGCCCAAGTTGTATTGGAATGGAAATGTGTTTTTATTTTTGCTAGAGTCCTAGTCGTCTATTTTCGTGTCCGCATTTGTGCATGTTGTGCGAGGGAAGGATGAGCTAGCGAATACGCGTTCGTTTCTGCAGTTCTGAGCTCCTACGTCCTGATGCAACGTGTTTTTTCTTTTATGATTCTTAGGATGCCAGTTTTCTCAAATGGATCTTCAGTGAATCTTATCGAAAAATTTGCGGCGTTCTAACGTACACGCCCAATATTTTCGCCTAGGAATGATACTTGACAGCGCTCTAATTTTATCTGATCGATTACATGCATACCGCCCGTGCGTATCAACCCCTTCCCCTCCCCAGACTCGGGTATGGGCCAGGACAGCCTGCCACCGGCTCAGGAGGCCCCGCTGCAGCCTCCTCCAGCACTGTGGCCGCCCGAGCCCCGCACGAGGAGCAGCTCTGTGTCCACACAGACGTCTCCTGAACCGGCGGTGGAGAGGCCGGGCTCGAGCCGTGCGGACTCGGCAGCCTCTGTGGCTACTCAGACCTCGCCGGATGGACAGCTGACTGCCAGCAGGTTAGTGACCGGCGGCTGACCATTGGGGGGGGGGGGGGGAGCGGAGGGGGCAGCTTGGGACAGGTCGAGGGAGGGATCTATGGGCGTTGGCGGGGCGTTGGGCCTGAGGGCGAGGCGATGGCCAGCTGGGAAAGGGTCGTTGTATAGAAGGGAGGGATCAGTCTATGATTCAGAAGAGTAAGAGGGGGGGGGGGGGGGGGACGACGTGGCCACTGCTCAGCTTTGTTGCATTAATCATAACGAAGTAAATATTCTGCTTTACTTTGGATGTTCATAATTTGTCTGACTGCGAGGAAATCGAGGCATATGCTTAGCTTCGAGCGTCAGCAACCAGTTTTCGTTCGTTATTGTTCGTTTGATTCTCCTCACTTCAGACTTGCAGCGTTGCTCCATACAGATACAGCTACTCTTACCTTATAGTCACCGTGCTCTTACCGTTGTTTTCTTCCTATAGAAGTCAACGGTGTTATTGAATAGTTCTTATTTATTCACACTCTCGTTTGTCGCAGCCTGGGCAGTTCTCCCAGCACCGATGCGTCCCCTCGGAATCCTGACCGAACACCAGCGCCGCGGCGCGGGGACCTCTACGACCAGAGGTTCCAGAGTCGTCCGCCAGTCGGCGCTGGTGACACGCCGTACGGCTCTCCCAGAGGTGAGGAAGGAAAGCTGACCGGGACAAACTCGCCTTGACGCGCGGAAGGGGGTCTTGGCTAACTGCTTTGGGCGCGTATTGTCCAGACAATCGGGAATGTGCTCGTTGCGAGAAGCGCCGGTTGGTTCAGTACGGGATCTTACTTTTCTATTTCACTCAGTTGTTACGTGCAGCACGCTATTCGTCGACGGGATATGTCGCCCAGCCCATTGGTTTACGTGTGAAGAGCTGAAGGCAGTTTACGTTTCGTGTAAAGCTCTTCCCTGCGGCCCTGACTGTCCGAATCAAGCCTTGCTTTCTAGACTGCGTCCCCCTGTAGTGCTGTCCTTGTAATTATCCGTGCCCTCTCTTTTTTAATCCTCTGCTGTCTTCACTTTCCTAATCTGCTTTTACTAACACATCCTTCCTTCTTTTATTTAACTGCCTGACCTCCTCCTCGCCCCTCGTTTCAGTGGGCCGCATGGACGTGCCGCCTCCCCCACCCGCCCGGCCGTTGGGCGCCAGTCCGGTGGGCGGGGGCGGGGGCGGCCGGGCGCGCAGCGGCTCCCCGGCCGTGGGCGGCAGCTCCGGAGGTCTGGACGGTCCCGTGGAGCTGACTGTGACCAACCTGGACTCGAGTAGACACCCGAGAGATATGGAGAAGTTGCTATTGGAGTTGGCCAGCAGACACACTAAGGTATTTACTGGTGGAACTGGCATCCACTTTAAAGGGACGATACAATTGGGAATAGTAAGTACTGAAGGAAAATGTCAAAGCAGGCTGACTTGGATAGGGTGAACTTTTGGACGCTTCTGTGTAATTCCAATGTTACTGTGAAAAAGGCAGTTTGTTTGACCTTGTTTTGTAGTTGTTACAAGATTTGTATCGTATTTATACTAGCTCTATATTATTTTTTAATGTTTGAATATGGAAGGGTGGGTTGTGGGTTTGATTTGATGCCCTCGCAATCTTCCCATTTACCAGTTTAGTCCACGTCTAAAGCTGTCCCTCTACCGCTTCGGGCATCAGCAGATCTGCTTCACTATAACGCTGCCAATGTAGCTCGACGATAACCCCGCCCTCCCCCCCCCCATATTTTCTCTTCAGGTGGAGTCTCTCTCGGTCTACTGCCAATCCGACGGTTCCATGGTGGCCAGTGTGGTCGTACCCACCCAGTTCGACTCACAGGCTCTCATAGCAGAGATGCACCGAGCAGTCATCGGTAACAAGCGCATCATGCTGTCCTACGCGAGGGTTGACAAACCAGAGCGGCCGTACAAGATACGGTAAGTAGGAGTGCCAGGCTGTGACTGACGTTCATTAGTCGAAGGGAATGGGAGAATGAGTAGCTGTGAGGGTAGAGTATGCAGTTTTACGGAGCATACTATGTGTTTATGTATATGTGTGTGAGTTGGAGTGGGATGGGTGGAACAAATATATTCTGTGTTGGAGTTGCTTAACCGTGGTGAAAGCTATTCGTATGGATGAGTCATACTGGTACTTAAGAGGTTGCCTTGGCGTGATTGTATAAGTGTTCGTTGATTTGCCCTGTCGCGTTCCGGGCCTCAGATTGGCTATCTGTGTCGTCTCGCGGCCTCTCATTGGCCGCCTGTGCCATCTCCCGCCTCTGATTGGATCTTTGTCCCGTCCCGGGCCTCTGAATGGCCGTCTGTGTCGTCCCCACGCTCTGATTGGCCGTCTGTCCCGTCCCGCTGCCTCTGATTGGCTCTGGCGTTGTTAGGGCGCAGGTGATTCGTCTGCTGAACGACGTGCCGTCCGGCCAGCTGCCGCTGGTGAAGTTCATGGAGCTGTACGAACAGCGTTTTCACAGCACAGTCAGCATCGCAGACCTCTTCAGGTCAGACAAGACACATCCACAATACACGTCATGCTGACACTGTATAATGGCTCTCGCTGCTTTAGGCCTCTTTACAGGGTACTTGACATTGCGCCTGTTTGCTTGGCAGGGCTGCTTATGTGTCTTGTTGGCATCTGGCCGCTTCAGAGTGCTTTTTACTTCTTCTCGATGCGTTACATCACATCATTCTACTCGATACGATGCATACATCGAGTCTCTTCGCAGGACTTTGGATGCTTCTCGCTGTATCCGCTTTATGTATTAGGCCGCTGAGTGTTTTTCGATGATTCATGACACCTCAAAGCTCTGTTGGTCTACTTCGCTGTGAGATGCTGGGTGCTTCATAACCATTTGGTGAAATGCGCTTTTTTTCTGCCGGCTCGGTGGAAGGCTGGAAACAGCCGCGTCTATGCTCGATATACATTCTGATCCGCGGGGTAGTCACGGTGCGTCGCTCCTGCTTGGGGCGAGGTGGCTGAGAGGTTTTAGAGCTTGGTGCTAATCCGTAGCTTTGCAGATGCTCGATTTGTGTTTCACAGGACTTCAGCTGTTGCTGACTTGGGTGACTGTCTCTCGCTGCCGTATGGTGGCAGGGATCCTTGCTCTTTTGCTGCCTATTACAAGCTTTGCTTTTCAGGCGCCTCTCTGCTTTCTTGTGACTAATACGTGGCTGTTTATGATTGTTCCCGTCCTTTTATACACGTTGCTCGTAACATTCAAGCTACAGCCTATATTTCAATGTGGTTTTAAATGGATTTTACATACAGAAATATGGAAGATAGCTTCGATCTCTTTGATATTTTTCAAGAACGGCATTTATGCTTTCTTTAGTTTTTTTTTTTGAAAAGCAAATAAGGCCAGTTTTGAGACGGTCTCCGCCTCCGCACGAGTGAATGCTGCATCTTCAGGCTTTCGTTAATTCCGAAAACTCTCAGTCGAACATGACCAGTGATGCCACTAACAGATTTGTCATGCACTTTGTTTACCGGACGACAGGCCCAGTTAACTCAAACAATCGTCTCACTTCGCTAAAATATTGGGAGTGACTGACTGATAAGACTGACGTGGTATGTACCGACAGGATGCGGGAAACAATCACAGTGGTGGACAGCAGCAGCGGTCGGGTGATCCAGCTGAACCCGGCACTGAAAACACAGGACCTGGTCAGTGCTACGGGTGGGGAGACAGTCAGTGATTCAATTAGGTTAAAAGGCAGATGTTATATCAGATGTTACCGTTCAGATGATAGCGATGTCGTTAGAATACCTGTAGCTATAACTGTTTTCTTGTGTGCTTTTACCTGCCCAGTGCGATAGGTTTTTGTGCAATGATCACTTCATGCGTCGTCGGGGCCAACATCATTTCAATTTTCACCTATATTTTCTGCTGTAACAATTACTTCAATACTGGTATGTTCGACAGGGCGTGTCGGGTAGGCCGGCAGCCGGCTCCGCCTGTTTGCGGCACCCGCCGCAGCGCGGCGCCACCGTCGGCTGGGCCGAGCGAGACGATCCAAGCGTCCTTCCCAACAGTGAGATTCAGCTGGAGGAACTAGAACCCATCATCTACCGACTGTTGAACTCGCATGATGGCGTGCTCTTCCTGTCCAGGTATGTGTGCTTGTTGTCCAGGCATGTGTTTGTGTGTGGGGGGGGAGGGGGAGGAGGCCGGAGGTTGAGGGCTGGGACTGGGAGATTACGTGGCTGGAGGATAGCGGTAAAAGGTCTGAGAAGGGCGATGGAATGACTGGAAGCGAAGGTAGAGGCTGAGGTGAATTAGGTTATAACATGATTGAGCAGCGACTTCCTCGGATGATGTGCTGCATTGTTGCATCGCATTCTGTCACTTCTGAAAATTTGGATAACGTGGTGCTCAGACTAGATTCATTCACCAGTTGAGAAACCTGCTGCATTGTTTACACATCATCTCATCCATTTACACTTACCCAGTCTGGCCTTTAAAAGCCTGTAACTAGCTGCATTGATAGCACAAATATTTCTCGAACCTGGCCCGTTGTCCGTAACCCGTGAATACTGACCGCTGCCCCTCCTTACAATCTGCTGGACTGTTATTCTGCCGAGTTTCACGACCAGGCCTATCCCGTGATCAATGACCTGACCTGACCTTCGACGCCCCCCTCTGCCCCCACAGCCTGCTGGACTGTTACTCTGCGGAGTTTCACGACCCGGGCCTGTCCCGCCTGCGTCTGGAACCGAACGCAGTCTGCCTGGAGCACCTACTGACGTGGCTGCCTGAGGTGCGGGTAGTGACCCGTAGTCAGGACAAGGCGGTCGTGTGGGCACGGGATGCGCCCGAAGGTGAGTGGAGGGGTGGGAGAGATACGTTGTTTTGTTTGGGGGCTGGTTGTATGTTCGTGTTTTTTGAAAATTATATGCTAGATTACGTCTTTAGTGAGATTTTGTCTCTGAGCCGGTGTCTTGTGTGTGCAGTGGGAGCGAATAAGTCTCGCCTTTGATGACATGTGACCTTGCTCTAACTAATGCTATCATGCTAATTGCTATCATTCATATTTAATTGACCGGGATCCGTGTTTCGATGGGCGCAAAATGACCTTGTACTCGGCGCGCCCTAAAGCCCCAATAAACAAACGATCCGTATTTCGACCATGCCTTCATGCTTTTGTCATGTTACTTATGTAATGTATACTACATTTTTAATATGACTGTGCTTTGTATTTTTGGCCTTGTTGCACATTTTGACTGTGTGACTAATTACAACCATATTACCATTGTGACCTAATATGACCACCTGTCTGACGCCCTGCCGCCGTTCTATCTCAGAGGAGCCGGCGCCCGTGAACCCTGCCCTGCAGCAGAAGGTGGTCATGTTCTCCCGCGAGGTGGTGGACCTGCTGCGGGCCGCGCCGCGCGCCAGGATGCCCTTCAACAGGTGCGTGATAAAACGGGGAACTGGTGGGCGGTTAATGACGAGCGTTGTGACACCAAAAGTCAAACTGCCTATAAATGAGCTCGTTTGTGAACCGGTAGGTGGGAAGCGACTACCATTCCTGGTATGGTACTGCATTCAAATATTGAAATAGAAGAAGTCCCGTCGCTTTTTACGGTGCAATGAGACCGGTTTTGTAATTTCCACTCATTTGCTACATCTATATTGTATAATGTATATCAGCTTCCTCGTCGATCTTATCGACCGAATGAATGTGGTGGTCCAATTCGTGTTGAATAGTCTCGCCGTATCACTGAGTGACATTGGCTCAATGTTGTCTCGGTGTCACAGGTTCATCCCGGCCTACCACCATCACTTTGGTCGCCAGTGTCGGGTCTCCGACTACGGCTTCACACGGCTGGCCGATCTGTTTGACGCCCTGCCACATATCGTCCAGGTTAGTAGGTCAGGGGTGAGGGGGGTGGGGAAGTTCACTGGATAGGTGGAGAGGGTTATCGCTGAGGAAGGTATTGCGTAGCCCGTAGGTCTCTCTGTTGGGAAAGCGACAGAAGAGCGATGCGGCTTTCCAACTGGAGAAAGGGGTCGAAGGGACTGAGCAAATTAAATAAATGTGCACTTAGCCTGCATCCGCGGACCTTACATGGTAAGCACATCGGGTGTGGAACAAATTGAATTGAAGCACAATTGCTTCTTGATGGGTAAAGTTAAGGAGCCAACTCTTTTTGTTTTAACCAGCAAGTGGAAACAGAATGAGATACAGCATCGAACACAACAAGAAGCTGCTGAAAAATGATTGCTGCTTTATAGTTACCTAGTTACCTATTGTCACACTTGTCAAAAATCATGGAGAAAGTTGTCTCCAATCAGCTTTCTGTCTACATTTCACGCACAAATCTTCTCTACAAACGACAGTACGCATACCGCCGCTGCCACTCCACCGAGGACGCCGTGCTCGATGCTGTCGACTGCATTGCTCAAAACATCGACTCCGGCTTCGTATCAGCTCTCATCGCTGCTGACTTGAGCAAGGCGTTCGACAGCGTCGACCACGGTGCCCTCCTGTGCAAACTGGGGTGGTATGGAGTGGATCCCTCGTAGTTTGCCAGCTACCTGGGCGGACGTAGCCAAGTGGTCCGGGGTGGTAGCGCCACCCCGGTTGCAGTCTCCCACGGCGTGCCACAGGGATCCATAATCGGGCCGATCCTGTTCAGTCTTTTCTGCAACGACCTACCGTCTCACCTTGACGTCGAACCCGTCATCTACGCCGACGACATTCACTTGTTGGACCGGGCTAAGCCTGAACCTCAAAATTTAATCGCTCTTAAAGCACGGCTTGAAAACACTCTTTCGATCATGCAAAATTGGTACCGTTCAAACTCACTCAAAATGAACCCTCAAAAAACCGAATTTATCATGATTGGCTCTCGTCAAAACATTCAGAAAACGGAGGACTTCAACATCGTCATTGACGACGTCTCAGTGACACCCTCTGGCTCCCTCCGCATGCTGGGAGTCGTCCTCGACCCAGTCCTGTCTTGGGAGAAACATGTTGGTCACGTTGTTCAGAAATGTAACTGTCTTCTCATCTCCCTCTATCGTTTTCGGCACCACTTCCCCCAAGACGTACTACAAAAACTTATCAACATTCACGTCTTCCCATACATCACCTACTGTCTTTCGGTTTGGGGTGGAGCCAGCAAAAATCAACTTTTCAGGATCCAAAAAACTATCAACTTCGCTGCGCGGGTGGTAACGGGGGCACGGCGGACGGACAGGATTGGCCCGACGCTCCGGGCTCTGGGATGGGAGCGGGTGGAGCGGTTGGTCGAGATGAAGGACGCCATCAAACTTCACAAGCTCCTGACCCAGGAGCTCGGACCACCAGCAGTCCGATCTATGTTCGTGGCCCGATCGGCTGTCTCCCACCGCTCCACCCGTTCCACCGAGGCGGGCCGCCTTGAACTGCCGCGGTGCCGGCTGGTCGGCACCCAGCGCGGATTTCGATATCGTGCCGCGGCAACGTGGAACATGTTGTCACCAACTGTCACCAACATCAGATCTGCCCGAGAACTCAAACGCGCTATTCAATAGAAAGTACCATAGATCTCTCGCTACTATTCGTCACTCAGTGCATTCATTTTGTGTTTAATTTTCATGCAACACAATGTGCGAAGTCTTCGCTTTTAGCCTCACATTTTAAACCTTCACCTTTTTATGTATTTTATGAATATGGCGAGTGTCTGCTCTAATGTCACGTTTTATTCTGTCGTTTTATGAGTGTGCTATCTTGTATTGACGCAAATCCCGAAAAGCCATCATGTGGACGGATTTTAGATGAATACATACATACATACATACATACATACATACCTAGTCTGGCAAAACTAAAGAACAGAATTATTTAAAACGTAAATTTATTGACGGACGTGTCTGCGTATACATACTATAACTTCCTATACGCTCGAGAGCATTTCTATGAAAACTGGAAGCACTGACGGGCAAGATACAAAGTAAATATTCTACATCTACTGATTGTATTGACGGTTTTAGTGTTATCGAGTTTGCCGTCTGCTTCCCATCAATAAAATGGAGCTATGAAAAAGTATTGATGGTGTTCAACAACCTGGCTTGACCAGTCGTTTACCGAATGATCTGGTATTTCGCCGTGCTGCAGCCGTTTGGAATGTAAACAAATCGAGAGCAGGCCGCCCACGGAGCCACCCTTCTGCATGCCAGGGCCGAACGATAAACAACACCCTACCGGGATTCCGGGGAGAGATGTTCTCCAACCCGCTCCAGCCGCCGGTCAGCAGTTAGCTCCCCGGCTCGGAGGCGGACGGTGCACCCCGGCCCGTCTACTGCCGGGCTATCCAGTGCAGCATGGCCGCCCGACCGCTCAGCAGCTCCGTCTGCCTGCTGGCGGTGCTCTGCGCCGTCTTCCCGTGCGCGCTAGCCGACGACGCCGGTGCTGGCACCAACGACGCGCTGGATGATCTGCTGGCGCTCGTCAACCGTGCGGTGAGAGAGGCTGTGGACCCCATCTCCGCCGAGCTCCGCAGCCAGCGCGAGCTGCTGGGCGACATCTTGAGCAGGTTAAGCAGCCGTGACACTCAGGCGGAATCGGCCAGTGCTCGACTTGATGCTGTTCAAGCTACGTTTGACTCTCAATCTAAGTCAACTAATGCACGGCTTGATTCCACCCAGGAGGCCATAGAGTCTCAATTTCAGCTCGTCACTGCCCGGCTTGATTCCATGCAAGATGCTCTGGAGTCTCAAAGTCTGTCTGTCAATGCCTGGCTTGATTCTACTCCGGAGACATTGGAATCTCAGTTTCAGCAAGTCACGTCTCAACTCGACTCAATGGAGGCGGAGCTCGGCTCTCAGCTTACTTCATCCAACAGCAGTCTCGGACATCTGCATTCTGAGCTCCACACTGCGCTAGACTCGGTTACCTCCCGGCTGGACTCGTTCGGCACACGACTGGAAGAGCTGGCAGAGATACAGCAGAACGCGACCACCGGGCCACGAGACTGCAGCGAACTGCCAAGCGGTTACCCCAGTGGGGTCTACACTCTTCATCCCGAGTGGGGCCGCAGGAGCCCGGTGGAGGTATTCTGTGATATGGAAACGGACGGCGGCGGTTGGACCGTGTTTCAGCGACGCGAAGACATTCTGCCAAGGGAGGACTTCTATCGGAACTGGACCGAGTACAAGGACGGCTTCGGAGACCTCGCAGGAGAATTCTGGTGGGGGCTAGAGAAGCTGTGGCTGCTCACTGGGACGCCGGACAGGAGATACGAGCTGCGCGTCGATCTGGGAGATTTTGACGGAGAGAAGAGATACGCCAGGTATGAGAACTTCAGAATTTCGTCAGAGTTTGACGGATATCGTATAACTGGTGGGAGCTACACAGGAAATGCTGGAGACAACATGAGTCATCACTTCGGGCAGCAGTTTTCGACCAGGGACAAGGACCAGGACAGTGCCTTTGGTAAAAACTGCGCCCAATACATTAACTGTGGCTGGTGGTTTAACTATTGCTATTATTCAAACTTGAATGGCGTCTATATGCCAAGAGAAAATAATGATGCCAAGTGGGGAGGTTTAATATGGAATACTTGGAGAGGTGGCCGGTATTCCCTTAAAAGTGCTGAAATGAAAATCCGTCCATCATAAGCTGCCAGAATCGGGTAACTATTGGAGTCGTTCTTTAACATTCCGCAGCACATCCATGCTTTCTCTATCATGATTCATTTTGACGTGCTTTGCATATTTGTGTCGTAGCCTACCTGCATGCTATTTTATCTCGAAGACACTAGGACCTTTGCGTTAATCACGGAGCTTAGAGGCTGTCAAACAGAATGGGGTCACTTAAGTGTTAACTAACTACGCAGAAAGCTACGAATCATCTGTAAGCGTACTCATGTGTTATTATAATGTAGTTTTAATGCGTTTGTGTATAAATAATAAGGCGTGTAAAAACTTCCAAATATAATGCACAACCCGCGCAGGTAATATGTATTGTTGAGGAAACATTAACAGGGAAATTTTAGTCTCGTAGTAGCATGCCATGTGGCACAGAGCTTCAGAATTTGTCCGTAACCAAGGTTTCAGGCGCTGCAGTCTCCAATGGTGGAGCGTGGCTGCAGCCAGTGCCTAACACCAGGCGACGCGAGAACTGTCCTCCGTTCACTGTTTGATATAATAAACGGTATTTTATGGCGATGTATGACGCATTTTTGCTTTGTCTTCTACGTCGTAGAGTTTTTACCTCAATCTGTTTCCTACCAATCAGCTGACCTGACAGCGGTACAGATCACACTGCCAACGGCTGTGAACATGGAACATGCAACTGGTACAGAACGGCAACATTACAACAACATTACAGCAACATTACAACGCGGCCACCCAGGGAACATGGAACATGGAGTTAGTACAGAACGGCAACATCGGCAACATTACAACATTACAACGCGGCCACCCAGGGAACATGGAACATGCAACTCGTACAGAATGGCAACATCGGCAACATTACAACAACATTACAACGCGGCCACCCGGGGAACATGGAACATGGAGTTGGTACAGAACGGCAACATCGGCAACATTACAGCAACATTACAACGCGGCCACCCAGGGAACATGGAACATGGCATTGGTACAGAACGGCAACATCGGCAACATTACAACACTCTATCGCGGCCACCCGGGGGCTCTGCGGCCACCCATCCTTTTAGCCCTTCACATCTGGCGTCAGCCCCTATTTATGGTTGTCAGTTATGCTTCTCTTTGCGGTCGTTCGCATGAGCCAGTGGGGGGGGGGGGGGGGGGTTCGGCCCGTCGCCATTGTTGTACGATACACGAAAACTCAGAAAAGGCTTGCCAGATTACAAACTATTTGAACGGTTTTAAATATGTTTTTATCAACCGTTTTGAATTTTATTTCAATTTTCAGCTCTCCATCATGCATTGTGTGGTTATCGTAGATGTCGTTCACGAATTTCAATGCATTTTATACAGATGGGCTTGAATATTTTTGTCTCGAACGGTAAGCTTGGGGTAAAGTTGACGGGGCAAAGTAGCCAGCTTCGTGTTGGCTGAAAGTTGTTTCCTTACGGACAACATACGATATTTATATATAATGTATATTTATATTACATTTTAATGTATCGTCATGCATTCATCTCGGCCACTTTTTGGTCGGGTCACACGAGCTACCAAATGATGCAATTAAATGTGCTTTTTTCTATTCATGTCTTCTTTCAACAAGTGGGAGGGTGGCACTAAACATCCACCCTCCTTTCAACGTTGTCACTATCAAATACACTTGTCGTGCATGAGGCAAAGTTGCCAGTGGTTGTTTGTACCCCAGCATTTTCACCTGCCATCCTTTGTCGGCGATGCGGTAGTAGGGATAGTGCCGGGTGGTGTAGCTATGGATACCGTTCATTGTTAGCTGGCCGTCCTTGGCGGTATTTTGAGCTGTGTACCGGCTGTCTTCCCCCATAGAAACGTTCTGAATTTTGAGGCTTCCCTGACAACGTTACTTATGCTCTAGATACCTACTTTAAATTTTCGCTGGTTGTATGTGACTTATTTTCCATTAATGTATCGCACAAAATTTCAAACATCTGACTACTCGTTCTTCTGTTATTGCATTGGAACTACAAAGTGGCAACATCAGTTTGATAATGCGAGTATTATATGTCAATAAGGCATATAAACTAAAATTTGTGCCTTCCCACCTCTGACCCCCTCTCCCCGTCCCCCCCCCCCCCAGGTGCTGGGGTGCGGTCACCGGCGTGTCATCACTCTCACGCCCCGCGCCCAGCAGCGCCGGTTCGCCTCTGACCTCCTGCGCGTCCTGAAGGCCCAACACAGCAAGCAGCTGTCGGTGGCCGCCCTGCCCGAGGCGTTCGGTCAGGTGCTCGGCAGGGAGTTCGCCGTGTGGGACTATGGAGCGACCCGGCTGCACACGCTGCTGAGGACAGTCAACGGTGGGTGATGGGGCGACGAGGGCAATTTTTGGGCGGTGTTGACAGTTATTAATTGATCACAATGATCAAATGGTAACTATTTATTGGATTTAGTGATATGTGGACACCGGTAAGAAAGGAATGAGAAATGCTTGTCTGACACAATGACGCTGGCTTCTTGATGCACTATTTAGCACTATTTTGAAAAGTGACTAGATAATATTTTTTAATGAGTTTGCTGTATTGAACTCGCCTTTATTCAGTTATGTTTTTTTCTTATGATATTGTGGTTACCTATGTATGAACTCACCTTTTCCCCGTGTTTCAGGTGAGAGCGTGGTGGTATACAAACACGAGGGCGAACTGAAGGTGGCCATCCCTCGCCGTGAACAGACGCCAGAAGAGATGCAGAAAACCAAACACTTCGCCACTGAGGTGAGACACCGAACGGTGCGGTGACAGTACACAGCCGACTGATAGGCTGCCGGCTGACTACTGCTGCGGTAGGCTCCAGTCGGGCAGGAGTAGGAAGTCGAATTATGGTGCATTGTTTCAATAAAACCGATAAATTGTATGAACCGCACCCTTTATGCTTCAATTGATTTAAGGTGAACATCTCACCTCATCATTTGCTTAGATTTAGAGAATTTCGTTCCTTATGTGCTTTATCCCTGTTCCCATACGGTATTGCTAACCGTGTGTAATGACCACTGATCACGTGACCCTCCACCATGTTCACCAGGTGAAGGAGCTGCTGCGTCACGTGCCCTTCTGTCAGATGCAGTTCAACAAGTTCATCCCGGCCTACCACCATCACTTTGGCAGACAGTGCCGGGTCTCTGACTACGGGTTCGGCAAGCTGGCTGAGCTGTTTGAGGCTGTGCCAGAAACGGTGCAGGTTTGTTAATGTTTGGAAGAAGGCGGGATGATGTGGTTTGATTTGAGTTGGCAGTGATCTATCGATGAATTTTGTTTTAAGAATATCCTTCATCGGGATTGTCTTGGTAGGATTATTTTGTGTGACTTCAGACTTGTTACTTGTCGATGCCTGTTGAATGAGCCCTACCAAATCCGTTTCATTATCTTCACATTAAATTTCATCACCTGGGACCTCTATGGCCTACATGTAACTCCGTCTGTACTCCTTATGGCTCCTGTTTGGTCTCTAGCCATCTGCCTCCATATCACCTCCATATATCCGTCTGACCTCAATAATTAAAATATCTAACCTCCCATTTAACCTCTGCCAGGTGAGCTCGGACGAGGACGGTGAGAAGTTGATTCAGCTCACCCGACCGGCACTGCTCTCAGTGCTCTCCGATCAGCTGGTTGCAGTACTACAAACGGCGGCGGTAAGTGTGGCAGAAGTGAGGGCAGGTGAAGGGCTCATTGTTGCTCTCAGTCGTTCTGTTTTTTTTGTCTTTGTTCTTTGTTTGTTTGTTTGTTTGTTTGTTTGTTTGTTTGTTTGTTTGTTTGTTTGTTTGTTTGTTTGTTTGTTCAGTGTTTGTTCTTTGTCGCTCAGACTGTAGGTGTCTTACAGTGAGGAGAGTATCACATTGTATTTCTACTGGACACTTTGGGAAGTAGTGGATTTGAAGCGTGATGGGTATTCGTCATACAATGACACAGACGCAACTAGCGTAGGGTAGAACTTCAATCAATCAATCATGTATTCTTATAACACTCCACGTGGTGGCTCTTCCGGTTACCCGTCACATTTTACAATGGTACTCACATTCATGCACATTCACATTCATAATAAAAGGTAGGTATAAAAATAAAAAGTAGAAATAGGTACAAATAAAATGAGAGCCATCAGATATCGGCTGGCTGGTGGTGCGATCATTGCGCCCGCCGAGTACAAGTCCGCGAGCTCGCCGAGTCGCGCGATACCGACTTGCTGCTGTTCCATGCGGAAACAGCACGGAATGCAAAGCAGCGACGAGCAATCTCTGTACGGACCCTGGGCAGCTCCAAGAGTCTGTCGGCTGTGCCTCGAGTGACACGGCTTGACACGGTCTCACGGTAAGTCACACGCTCTCTCAGGCACACAGGCGAACGAGGCGAGTGCAGAATCATGTGCATCGCCGCCAAATCACGCTGATGTAACAGATCGTCAAATCGCTGCCAGCCCAGCTCCGTCAGGAGGGGGGTCACGTGATCATACCGGCGAGGCACCCTTCACAATACGAACACAATGGTTTATCACCTTCTGGATGCGGTGCCGCTGGGCCCTGCTGCAGCTCCCCCACACAGTCAAACAGTACATTAAATGAGGAAACACAAGTGCTTCAGTAAGTCTCTTTTTCACAGGCTCGGTCAGTCTTTGCGAAAATTTTGATAAACCACAGATGCATGCATAACAGCGCTTGATTACAGCTGACACGTGTGCCTCCCAGGTCAAGTTTTTGTCGACAACGACGCCTAATGTTTTGATGGACTGGGAGGGTTGAATAGTGGATGAGTCAAAGTCGATGGAAAACGTGCCTACCGAGCGCCGCTGGTGGGCATGCACCAGCATGAAATCTGTTTTGGTGGGATTCTGTTCTGCGAGAACCAGGCGTCAGCTATCCTTATACTTTCCTCAATGCGCTCTTTCAGCTTAGTAAAATATTTTGGGTGACATGTGTGGATGAACTGCACATCGTCCGCGTACATTATGAGCCTACAACCAGTGATGTGAGATGAAAGGTCGTTTGTAAATAATAAAAATAAAATTGGTCCTAAAATTGATCCCTGGATCACACCATGACTCAGCGGCAAAACATCATGACCATCCCGCACACGCTGTCTGCGGCCACTCAGCCAATCACAGAACCAGTGCTGCTCAATACCATACCACGCGAGTTTTTCCAGGAGCCGGTCATGCTCGACGCTGTCAAAGGCTTTAGAGGTGTCAATTGCCGAAAGAGATGCAATTTGCCCTTTGTCCAAAGACTCCGTCAGATACACGGAGAACTTATCAGTGAACTTATCTAGAGAATCTAGAGAACTTATCGGAGAACTTATCAGTGTGCTGTGGAACTGCTGTCCAATATTGTGTTGTTGGGACGGGTTACATCTGTAATTGAACTCCCGGGCACTCTTTGCGTCTGTTTAATGATTTCCCTTCTGTTGTCCGCCGGCAGTCTGAGTCTGTGGGTCTGGACGAGCTGTGTCAGCTGTTTCTGCGGGAGTTTGGATACCGACTCAGTCCGGCCATGTACGGAGCCGCCAACATTAGGGAACTGGTAAGTACGGCTGCCACCCTCCGTTCGGTTTCGTCATTTCACCGCGCACAGCTAGCTGCCCACATTTTCTGTTTCCGCCACCTCGTTCTGTATGCGGACGTGATGTACAATTTGATATTCGCGCTGGTCTCCGAGCCATATCATTCAGAATTCGTGACTGGCCCGATTTAAGTTCCCCGCAGCATATGATCGCTAAAAAACATTGTGTAAGCCCGATACTCTATGTCGTGTGCTGAATGATACTTGTACAGGTTTTTGAATCGCTGATAAATATTTTGCCAGCTCCCAATACGAGTGGGTAATGATTGGTATCCATGCTCACGTATGGTAGTAACATTTGTCTCTTACACGTCTGTCTAAGTTTCTTACGTGCCCCCCCCCCCTTCCGGTAGCTCTCGCAGCTGCGTGCCGTGGTGCGTGTGACCGGTCCGGCCGACAGTCTGCGCGTGCTGCTAGTGAACAGACAGCACCTCAAACAGACGGCGCTCAACGTGCGGCTGCTGCTCATGGACCAGGTGCGTTGACTGAAAATGACAACAACAGCCCGGCTGGTGTCGGCGGGGTGGCTAATATATAGCAATGTACGTCAATCACGTCCTGGGTTTGAACCTTGAATGTCCAAATTTGAATGTCTGCTCCTATAGCCCCTACCCAGGGCTGGGGTGTACGATACTCTTGACCATATCGTTACCAGGCGGGGTTTACCATACGCCTTGACGAGATGTTCATTTTGCTCCCCAGGACTGTCACGTGACTTGACCGAACTGTCCGCCCGCTCCCCTCCCTCAGCCCCAGGGTTGTATGCCGCTGGACCGTCTGCTGGAACAGTACGCCTGTCGATACCAGCAGCCGCTCAGTCTGGACACCCTCACTGCCGAGCTGCAGCACGTGCTCAAGGTAATAATGGCCTCTTTAATGTTTATACAGACCCTGGGCTGCCCTTTCGGTGTCTGAAGGATTGGATAATACACTTAAATGTCGACTCAATGTCTTAAGCTGCTTCCGAAGGGCATCGTGATCAGAGTCGAACATCTTTTGTGGAAAAATAGAGCGATTCCCTGAAGAAGTTCCCGTACACCCCACTGCATCCAGGCTCCAATAAAAATAAAACCGTGCATTTAGATGTAACATTGCTGTACCCTGTCTGTGTGCCGTGCCGCAGGTGGAGGGCTCCCCGCCATCCGCCCGCCACGTCCGTCTACTCCCTCTCCAACTACTGGCCAGGGACGTGGTCCGACTCCTCCGCCGACACGGTGGGAGACTGCAGCTCGCCGGATTCCACGCCGCGTTTCTGGCAGAGTTTGGCGTGGCGGCACGGCCGGCTCAGTTTGGCTATCATAGTACCCCGGCGCTGCTGGAGGCACTGGATGATACCGTCACTCTGCGTGGACGAGGTTAGTTGGAGCGGGTCAGTTGGGGAAGGAAAGGCGGTTAGTGAAGTTAAGGAGGCGGTCTGTTGAAGACTGGATGGGCAAAGATCCGTTTGTTGAGCGTTGATCCGGGCATCATTGTTTTCTTTTTATAATGTTTTGGCACTTATGAGTTACGTTGCTGGCAGATTGTCGGATCGGCACTTTTATATAGGATAATTTCTGTCGTAGTAACTCTCCTAGATAGACCCCAGGCCATAGGCTATTTCTGGTTACTTCACATATCTTGCTTTAGTAACTTTTGAGCCATGAAGGCTATAGGCCAGCTGACCTCTTCTGCATGGTCTGTTACTCAGCTGTTGCTGTGCTTATCGGTTATGGTTTCCTTCAAAAGGAGTCTCCAAGTAAAGTGTGGGACTAATATTCACCGGTTAGCTCTCTGAACGCCACTTTGTAACCGACCCGTCGGTTTCCACAGGCGCCCAGCGGTCCATCCATCTCCTCCGAGAGTTCACCACTGGCTGCGACTCGAACGGGGGCTCGGGCGACGGACGACCGCAGGCGGCCGGTGGCGCTCCCGAGCCCCAGCCGTCCGCCCGCGGTCCGCCGCCGCCGCCGGTTCCCGTGCCGGGTCCTCACGGTAAGCGGAGCGGGGAACACTGAGTGGATAAGCTGACTGCCTAGCTGATTGTCACAGCAGGCCAGCTTATGATTATATATGACATGTGTTGGTGCTTGCTTTACTGTCTGTCAATGACTTCGAAAAGTTCGAATATGGTTAGCTCAGTCCTCAGATGACTCGATGACTTCTTGGGCAGGGCAGGGATATCACTGTTAAAGCCAGGCGGCTTTGATGACCAAGTGGAATGGGATGCTGCAGCTTAGATGTCACATTTCTTATCACTGTCGCACGGCATTACATTCAGCCATGGTGGATGGAAGTCATTCGCCGAACACCTTAGTTCGCTGATCACGTACCCTTACAACGTCGCGGAGGACAAGTTATTTTACTGTCCCTGGCCATTCGGGGTACGATAATGACAGTCTTGAAGCTTGACCATCAGCTCTTTTGGTCTGATGTTATTCCATATACTCACCGAACACCGCTATACTTCTCGTGTAATCTGTGGCCCTTTTCTTTCAGGTGACAGCGTCGACTGCGCCCGGAGGCCTCCCTCCCCGGGGATGCAGGTAAGGTCGCGTGCTGATTACATGGTCTGGTCTGTTTGGATCTGAAACAGACTGATTGTGTCGCTTAGCTTTTTGTGCTTGCTGTTTTGCGTCTTAGCATTAATTATTGTTTCAAAATAAATTTAATCTCCCTGGACGTGGTCTTGCTTTGGATGTTTTGCGTTTTGTCCTTGATGGCATGTTTCAAAATATTGTGATTTTACATGCGACGGCATAGCCCACCTGTGCTAGTTTGTGACATGTTGCATGTTGATATTTCATCTCGCACGCTTATTTCATAAGACCTTTGTTCAAGGATTGATTGATTCAGGGAAATGTTATACGATTGGCTAGCCTGTTCTCCAAAATGAAACTACGTGCCGCAGGTCGGTTAGCTTCTGATACCCTAAATATCTCGTTTTATCGCCTATACTCTTACCCGCCCTGCACCGCCTCTGGCCATGCTGCACCCGGTGTGCGCGCGGTCGGGCGTGGCGCGCCAGGTGTACGCCGGTCAGCTGGTCACTTGGTGCCGAGCCTGGGTTTCGGCACCGCCTCCGCCGCCGCGCTGGCTGTCCACGCAGATGGCGCCACCGCTGCCGCACCAGATGGCGCCACCGTTTCTCCCGCCGCGGCCACCGCTCGGGCTTCGACCGACCGCTTATGTAAAGGATTTTAGTCGATCGTGTTTCGTAGTAGCTGAAACCGGTCCCGTAGTTACTGAATGTATTAGTTGAGTCGGGGGACTAGAGCTTTCGAAATTTCGTAGAATTTATTTTGCCAGATTCCGTCTTCAGAACCTTACAATATGGTGCCGAGTGAACTGGATTTGAAATCTGGCACTCGATTTACTCTGAAACAAATTACTGATTGAAGTCTAGAACAGCTGCAATTGCCTCATTTTAGAAGAGCTCTGAACCGGCCACAGCTCTTTGACAGCATTTCAGTGATGTGCTGGCTACGAAACATATCACTGCATGGAATTATCCGCGCAACTTGAGTGCAGAGGGATGTTAGTCAATTAGTCGACTCATGCATGTTTCTGTTCCGTTGGTGGCGGCGGTAGCTGCCGTGCAGTTGTAGCCAACACATGGTAGCTGTAGCCGCACTTGTATTGGTTTCTATTTTCCTACTGTCCAAGCTTCGTATTGAATCCCTGGTCTTTCTGTCATGAGTGGTCGAGCTCATTAGTTTATCTGCATTGGATTGTCAAGATCCTTGCTCACTGCCAGTGACGGCCTGGCCATCTTCGACAGTATATAGTGTGTTTCTGCTTTCTGGGACCTTGGAGAAGCTGGTGAGGCTCGTTTAGTTTGCATTCGTTGGTGCTCCTGTGTCAAAATCTGGGGCCATCAGATCAGCTTCGATGCCGCTTGGCAGCTTGAACGCTCTACTTCGATCGCATTGTAGTTATGGCATGCTGTGGGATATTTTGTCCCGGGTCTCTTGAGATTATCGTTCTTGGCCTATAATAGCCACCAGCAGGCCAGTCATTTCTTTGTATCGGTGGCGACTGGCGTGCACGCTTTCACATGTTGATGTCTGTTAAATATTATTTTAACGTGCATAGATTCCGCCTTGCTCCCATTTCGAATTTTGGACCAGCACTGCCTTCTCTGCTGCTTGTGTGAAGTGATTCATTTGTAACAGTTGATTGCGATTTGAACCTTGTGATATTTTGCTGGGCGCTGGCTTCTAATCTCAGCTGCTCGCACCGAGCTCCCTCGCACTGTCTGACGACTGACGGTATGTCTGTCTGCGCGCCAGGAGACGGGCTGTATGTACCTGGCCAGCCCTCCGGCGCCGTCCGAGCTGCCCCGACCTCAGTTCAGCTGGCTGCCGCCGCCGCCGCCGACCCCTCCGGCTGCCCCTCAGCCGGGTCCACCGCCCGCTCCAGCGCCGGACAGTGTGCCGCCCCTGCCGGCCGCCAAACCGACGCCCCCGCCTCTGGGAGCGCACCCCACCCCGCCGGAGAGGCGCTCATCGCGAGGTGAGTCGGTGGTGGACGAGGGGTGCACGTTCAGAACGCGCTAAGAATCTCCCACTCGGCTGTGGAACTGCGCGTAAATTACAGGAGCAGGGGCTATGACAGAGTGTCGACCTGTTGGGATGGTTTATGAATTATGTCTACCTTCCCTGGTATTTGTACATTTTAGGGGTACAGAATCGCCAGAGGCGTATTCACTCTGCTGAACAGCCTAAGCGTGAGTAACTACCATTTTTGTAGGTGGGGAATGTTTTAACTAATATTTCCCAAGTTATAATTACGCAGATCCGTGACTGTGACAGCTTCTTGTTGAAAGATGAAAGATAAACGCACTCAATGCTCTGAATTCTTCCGGCCTGCGGTTTTCAGCTGTCATTCGATGCGACCATTTTGTAGAGACTAATCTTTCGCTGTTGTCGTTTGCCACAGGCCGGAGCCGAATCGCCGCCCAGTTCCCTCCGTCCCCCTCCTCCGCCGCTATATCTACCACGGCGTCCACCGCTCAGTCTTCAACCGCCACGACCACGACCACAACTGCTGCTGCTGCTGTCACCGCCGCTAAGACCAAGTAGTGGATTCATGCTGGGCTCGTCTGGCTTAAACCGGCCTGCACTGGGGGCTGAAGCAGCCTGGTAGTCTTCTCAGCTGATGTAGCTTTTGGTGGTAAGAGAAGTACCGGTATATGTTAGCGTCGAAGGAAAGAACAGGCTTCTGTGTACTGTCTACCTTGGACTACTGTCGACTTCTTCCGACGGCGGGAGAACGCTATAGGATCTACGCTACACAGCCTAGATTAGAGAGGTGTGGACTTTGAGATGGGCTCATAGATTATTACATTCAGTGTAGTGATTGCGGCTTATGCTGGTTCAGGTATTGTGATGGCTTGGGTGAAGCCTGGAGTGAACCATGTCAAAATGGGCATAACTGAAAACAGGGTTTACGGTAAACCAGAGAAAGGGTAGAATTTACTGAGAGTTGAAGTGACGCATGTGGGGCTGAAACAGCACCCAGACGAGTCTGCTTGGCAGACGGTTATTTTGTGTTGTGCCGCTCGGTCACCGCTAGTGCCAGTCTGCGCACAGAGACCTGTGTTTCAGGCGTCACATGGATAGTTTATCGCTGTCCATGGTATTGTCTGTGTATGTGACGGGCAGTTAGTATAGCGGTCCCAGAGGTGGAACCCCATTCGGCCCGCCGGTGGATTTCGCCAAACATAGACAGATAGTTGCTCCTGTCTGGAAACCTGTCTGGTTGTGCCATTCGTGTGTGAGATGTTACAGCGATGCGAGGGACATCTCACGGCACGTGATCTGTGTAATTGATGCGGTGTTAATAGGTACAAATCATAACGGCGCCGCGCGCCAACCGCTGGGTACAAACTGATTCCGTGCTGCCGTTTACCCAGTATCCCACCGTCCTGCTTCATCACAGCTGCCGTCAGCATTTCAGTTCTCTGAATCACGCTGGTTATTTACCTTGATAGCGATGGTTTTTCAGTATTTGATTAGTCTTATTCCGTCTCAAACCGTGGTAGCCTAACTAGATGCTGCAATTATGATCGTTGATGTATCAGCATATCAGTCGTACCTACACGTTCCTTTTGAGGATTTGATTTGCGATGTACTGTTTAGGCAAGAACCCCAGGCGGTAAAAATGTCTGAAGAAATGTATCGACTACGTGGCATAGTCTCGTACACGGAACCGATTTCCTTTTTCAGTGTAGTTTGAACAGTTATATTTTGTCCAGCATGCGAGACCACGGAGCCTGCGCGTTTAGTTGCGTCTGTGGCTGAGTTCTGTGGCGGAAACTCGCAATTCGTCAGAATGGTCGATGTGATTATGTGAAGTCCCTTTTCCTAAGGTAGCGAGCGGCTGCTCTATGTTTCTACTGGACCATGCCAGTTGAAGTGCTCAAACGTCACAATGCACAATAGCCATGATGCTATCGGCTTGTACTTAGTTTTTTTTTTGTATTGTGTTCAGTATTTATTGGCGGTATTGATGTGTTCGGTGATTGGTATTTGATGGTTTGTTCTACGGATGTTTTTCGGGTGTTCAATCTGCCCGCAGTTTGAGGCTTTAGGCCCCTGCTCTTCAGTGAAGAAACTGTTGAATTTCTACGTCTGTTCCCAGCTTTTGAAAGTGGGGACGTTCATGTTCCGCGAAAAGGTAGCATAATGTGCGCAATGCGCATGTGACGCATTGTAAAGCTCTATGCCTCCCTATGATGCACGGCAGCGTTCCAAATCCTCAGCGCTGCCCTTGTGAAGGCAGACCTTAGAGTGATGGGTTGATTGTTCTCAATCATAGCACAAGAACCGCTGAGATGAGCCACTGACCTGGCCGCGGCTGTGCCAGATATGTAGGCATTCGTGTTAGTGTTGAACTGGCAACTCTCTGGTGTCTTGAAGGCAAGGAGCACTCGTTCCCTGATTAACATCAGGAGCCCCTATGTTGTTTTGCCTGTAGCCCGTAGAGTGTAAAGGGAACTGCCCTGGTGGTCGGCGCCGACAAGCTTGTACCGCCGCGTGTTTTGTGCCGAGACGACATTGTATCGCCGCGATTGTTGTTGCGCGTATGTTTTTGTAGATCTTTATGGTGTGCGCGCAGGCCCACGCGCTGAGAGCTTCCTGTTGCGGAGTTGCGCGCTGGATGGTAGAGGCGCTGCGCCGGTCCCGAGCGTACACCTCGGAGCCCCGGCATGGTAGGGAAACAGACCACCCTGGGCTTTCATTGCCTCGCTCAGAAGTGTTTTACGTTGTGAAACACAACGATTCTGTGAATAAAGTTGAGTGTCGCGAAAAGCTTGTGTTCTGCACTGGAGTGTGTAACTCGCTGCTTGGTCATGTTCTGTTTACAATATCAAAGGAACTGAGGATAGTGATTAGTGCGAGGAGCGAGAAACAGGATCTGTACGGCCCATTGTCATTTTGTTTCAAGTGAAGTGACTGATAGGTTGGGAGTATGTAGGTTACGGCCAAGCCGGCTGCGGACACAAAATATGAGGACTTGCTTTTTTCTGAGCTCTGAAAGCTCCAGAGCGGGCAGGGAGCGTCAGTGCCCTACGCGTCGAGCTTTGCAATTCATACTATCCCTGGTGCTGAACGCCATGTGACGGGATCCGGACCTAAAAAATCCGTACTGTATGTAAGGTAAAGATAATCCGAAACCTTTCTACTATTTCTGCCAGAAATACGGCTAGTTTGGTAGAATTTGGGGACAGATGCCAGTAGGAAAGAAGCGCAGGAGCCGTAGGAGTTCTTTAAGCTGTGTTCACACGGCACTTTCCTTAGAGTCGGGACGCAATGCATTTGCTACCACTTTTGCTACGATTTTAAATCCCATTGAATCAATATGGAACACCACAGTTTTTTTTTTCCAAAAAGAAACATTGCGCTGCAAGAACATTACAAATTGTACCAGCATAAATGTAGTCGGTAACAAGCAAAGATTTATTGTAATGGTCTACTGTTTTAGCCTAACTTTTAAGACTTGGTGGTATGAACGCTGCCTTGCACTTTGGACTTCGTTGTGTTTTCTTTCGTGAGCAAGGCCCTATATACCAGGTAGGGTCGTCCGGCGATTCTACCTTTTCGTGACGTCAGCTCGTGACGTCATTTGGAGTCAAGTCTCGAAGTCCCGTTCAATCCCCATGTAAATGAGCGATTTTCGAAGCACTGTAGAATGAAGTCTGCACAAGATATATCAAACTTAAGTATCTTATCTAAAAGAGCAGACAATTTTCTGCAAGTTATCTATTACGTGTTTTTCGCTAAATCTTTTGCTTTTTTCACAAAAGCGTAAAATGTCCCCCCATGTCTCCGCAGCCTCCCTGCCGCCGGCCGCCGCGCGGTCGCGGTAGTGTAGTGGTTAGCGTGCCCGCGCAGTATTCCAAAGGTCCCGAGTTCGAATCTATGCGGTGCGGAACTTTAATTGCAATTCCAAGCTGAATATACGCACATCCATAATAAATTATTATTCGTATAGCTAAACTGTCACCAAGATATCCATATAAATTGACTTCACCCAAAATATCGGCAAGATTCTATTAAAATATAAATTCAAATATGGCGGATTGGACTGCCGCGTGCGTTAGGCTCCGCCCATAGCTCCGCCCACATGCGTGACGTCATTCGTGTTAGTGGACACGCAGAGAGATAGGGGACGACATGGGCCTGTTCGTGAGTTTCGAAGTCGATGTGCAATAACAAACGACTTCTTGAGATGGTTGGCGTTGTCGGTTTAATTTCAATTTGTTCGCAGTTTTGAACCAAGATACCTATAAGAAAGTTTTGAACCATCGCTACGATTCGATATTTCACGGGCAAGAGCGCCTCGTTTTTCGTAAGTATTTTACGTTTTCTCGTTAGGACGCTCTGGACCACATTTTTCAGAGTTCTCAGCTTGAGGGTTGAGATAGTTTTCTTGGAGTTGAACATATTTGCATGATATATGGCTGGAAACATTTCATTTTACTGAGTTTGGGGGTAAAGCTCATTTGATTGCATATGACAAATGTGCTGCGTTGTGATGACAACACTTTTCGTTGCTTCTGGAATTTTGCTTTTATTTTGGGCTAATGTGATGTGACATGGGCCTTGTAGCATGTAAAATATGACAGCATATCATGTGTATAGGTTAACTCTTTGAATTGGTTTTCTGTCCTTCGATGCATTGCAAACTGAGGATTAATGGTGTGGTGCGGATGAGGATTGAGCGTCAGTCATCAAGGTGTTGCCCCAAATTGAGTGGCCGTGGTGCCATTCCAAGCATGAGACATGGCTGTAGTTCAATGCTGAAGTGTGACACTGCCCATAATACTACATGAATATGCACAGTATTCCGTGCAATAGCTGATGCTGTCAAATATTTCTTTTTTTATTTGGTTTGATCGTCATTTTGATTTGTTTGAGCTGGGCTAGGAAGTGGAGCATTATACCTACCTACCCATTTAGGATGGTTATTGTTTGGTTATACTTACTTATACTTATACTTACTTATTTGGTGTCAGCTTTTAATTAGCATGCTTCCAGATTACTGGCCTTTCTTGTTGCAGTCCCTTCATTTGCTAATTTTGGGTGGTTTTGTGCTATCATCAATGTGTTTGTGTGTTTTCACATTCTGGAATCTCATAATTTGATGTTTTTGACCTGATTCTGGGGATGATCCAGACCATCAGTCAAATACCTAATAGGTATGAATTTTTATTTATAGGTTGAGGTGAGACATATATGTGACGAATGTGTACTGTGCATTTTGTGACTGTGTTTTATCCTTCCCCAGCAGAGTTGTATCTGGGTCGAATACATGCTTTGAACTGAACATCACACTTGCATGGGAAACAAATAACTTGTTGTGCTACAACATTGGTGATGAGATCTGACTTGATAATTCTAGTTTGTTAGAAAAATTGAAGTGATGCATTAATGTGATGTGTTAAAGCTAAGTTTAGAATGTTGTGTCTATTGCTGAAGTACAGCTATTGTTTTTTCACACTTTCACAATGTGCTTATATTTATATCAAACAGGAAAGAACAGAGCTAAAGTCAAAGTGCTTAAGTGCTCTAGAAACTGCATTGTTCATTTCAAACAGGATGAGAGATGGAGTAGCCTTCCAACTGTCTTGATTCTCGATGGCCTTTCAAGAAATATTCTTAAGCATTTAGAAACTAATATACATTGTATGGTGCAACAATTTTTTGGGAGAGGCTTCTTATGTCTGCCAGCCTAAAATCACTTTTCTGCTCCGCAGGCTGTAAACGCCGCTGCTGCCGCTCCCAGCATGGCCGACAGTGAGGGAAACTCTCCGTACACACTGCATCGGCCGGGAGCCTTCGGGTCGGCGCCTGGACGCTCCCCCACCGGCGCCGGACCTGGACTGGGTGAGGGCACTATTGGAGGTGGTGGGACCTGGACTGGGTGAGGGCACTATTGGAGGTGGTGGGGCCTGGACTGGGTGAGGGCACTATTGGAGGTGGTGGGGCCTGGACTGGGTGAGGGCACTATTGGAGGTGGTGGGGCCTGGACTGGGTGAGGGCACTATCGGAGGTGGTGGGGCCTGGACTGGGTGAGGGCACTATTGGAGGTGGTGGGGCCTGGACTGGGGGAGGGCACTATTGGAGGTGGTGGGGCCTGGACTGGGTGAGGGCACTATTGGAGGTGGTGGGGCCTGGACTGGGGGAGGGCACTATTGGAGGTGGTGGGGCCTGGACTGGGTGAGGGCACTATTGGAGGTGGTGGGACCTGGACTGGGTGACGGCACTATTGGAGGTGTTTGGGCCTGGACTGGGTGAGGGCACTATTGGAGGTGGTGGGACCTGGACTGGGTTGGGGCACTATTGGAGGTGGTGGGGCCTGGACTGGGGGAGGGCACTATTGGAGGTGGTGGGACCTGAACTGGGTGAGGGCACTATTGGAGGTGGTGGGACCTGGACTGGGTTGGGGCACTATTGGAGGTGGTGGGACCTGGACTGGGTTGGGGCACTATTGGAGGTGGTGGGACCTGAACTGGGTGAGGGCACTATTGGAGGTGGTGGGACCTGGACTGGGTGAGGGCACTATTGGAGGTGGTGGAGCCTGGACTGGGTGAGGGCACTATTGGAGGTGGTGGGGCCTGGACTGGGTGAGGGCACTATTGGAGGTGGTGGGGCCTGGACTGGGTGGGGGCACTGTCGGAGGTGGTTGGGCCTGGACTGGGTGAGGGCACTATTGGAGGTGGTGGGACCTGGACTGGGTGAGGGCACTATTGGAGGTGTTGGGGCCTGGACTGGGTGAGGGCACTATTGGAGGTGGTGGGACCTGGACTGGGTGAGGGCACTATTGGAGGTGGTGGGGCCTGGACTGGGTGAGGGCACTATTGGAGGTGGTGGGACCTGGACTGGGTGAGGGCACTATTGGAGGTGGTGGTTGGGAGGGCAAGACTGAGAGTGTGACCAGTGACAGTCAGAAGATGGTTAGAGAGTGTGTTGGGATGAGTGGTAAATGACTGTCTCAGGGGAGAAGCCAAGAAATGCCAGGGAGTGACATATAAAGTGTTTGTTAGAATGGTTAGGGAGTGTTGAATGGGTATATGGGAGGGTTGGAGTCCTGGGGATAGTGAGTAACGAATGCTGAGCGTCTGGGCTGGAAGCTGCTAAGTGTCTAAGGGGCATTTAGAGGAATTAGTGTCTATCAGGTCGTTGATAAGAGGACGTCACTGTGCTTCCTTCAATGTGTGTAAGCTTTTGGCATTGCATGACGTGTTGCCGTTTCCAACGTCGTGATGTTATTTCGTTGAACAATTACCTACGTAATGCCTGTTTTGCAGGCACGGCAGAGAAGCGAAACCGACTGAAGCTTTCGTTCACCAACTCGGGGTCCCTCCTGAAACAGACGCCCAAGCTGCCCCTGCCAGTGCCAACCACACAGTGAGTGGTCTGAGGGTTGTCCTATGGCTCAGAGGATCGTCCCGGAGTTTTTGAACACAGCAGCTGATATCAGAGCTGAGTAGAACGTGATAGAAACTGAAATGTTCTGTACTGTCCGCGGGATGTGGCAAGGCTAACCGCTTCTACTCCCATTTCAGACTCCGAGAGAAGTATTTTGTGCCCAAGAGCATACAACATGGGATGATGAAAATATCGCCCAATCAGGTACGTTTCATTTCAGTGTGATATGAAATGAAAGATGTTAGTGACTGATGATCGTGATTTATCGAACTTATTTACGGACTTTGCCCGTACGGACATCACGTTTCCTTGGACGTGAACACCATATTTACATCTGTGTTCCAAACATGTGTATATCTGATAACGATATTTTGCGATGCACATAGAACTCATACTGGTGATTCTTTGGTACGAAAGCAGCCCAGGTTTCACTGTGACATCGGTAGCCGTGTAGACTTGTGGAGGCGTCAACGAGTCTCCTCCCTTCCTCTTAGCGCACGAACACTGCTAACTGGGTCTGGTGTTGACCGATGTTTCACTACACAGGTGTACCAGTTCACCGCCGAAGACCTGGATAACCTGGGGGAGATCGGTTGCGGAAACTTCGGCACCGTTAACAAGATGTTCCACCGCGCCTCCGGCACCGTCATGGCCGTCAAGGTAGGACGATGGACCTGCTGGGCGGGTTTGGTGACGGGGGGGGGGGGCGGGGGCGGGGGCTGTTGATATGTTCAATCGGTCTAACTTAGGGATAGTGCTCACTGTATATTTCTATGCTGCTGTGCATATTGTAGATTGTGTAAGTTGTGTAAGTTCGTAAATATAGTATCCCCTATCCTATCCATCAGAACCTACCGCCTATCCATCTGTAACCATGGATACGTTTCCGCGCTGCCGATTATGATTCTTTTGGTCTTGCATTTAACCCGCGACCGCCTGGGGGGGGGTCGGATCCGACCCCCCCCCCCTCCGTTTTTCTTGAATAACTCATGAACCACTTTCGCTATCTACTTGAAACTTGGCATACCTTCTCCCCCTTCAATTTGACGTCTCCTGTGCAATTTTTAAGAAAAAATTTTCAAAACTTTTTGAGATATATCGATTTTAGTGATGTAACTACATGGCGTTTTTAGTCAAAAAGTGGTAAATGTTTAAAAAAATCGCCAAAAATCAGGGTTTGAAGCAAATTGCAAATTAAGGACATCAAAAGACGCAGCTCAACAAGTTCTTTAAGATGGCTATCTCGGATTTTCCATAAAATGCGTTTTTCACCCCTAAAAATTCAAAAAACTATATTTTTTGGAAAACAGCTAATAATATCCAAAATTTTGGAAATTCCCAAAAAAACCGGAATTCATGTTGTAGAGCTCTATTAGAACATTAGATGCCCCAAATTTCAACTTTCTATCTTGAATTTTGACCCCCAAATTGTAAAAAATAGCCCCAACATGCATAGGGCATGGTGACGTCATAAGCATTTTCGTGAATTAGAGGCACTTCTGAACATCGCATGTGAAAACAAATGGCACCACTAGATTCCTGGGACAAAGCTCGTCTAGAAAAGTGCATTTTTATGTCAAAAATAAAAAGTTGAAAAATTGACCTTTTTTCTTAGCCCTCGTTTAGTTATGTATAGTATAAACGATTTTTTATGCTTTCAATGCACACTTATCACCAGCACAGTGACTTGGGGTCACTTATAACCAGGGATGCGGAGCCGTGGAAATTTCAGACGGCTCCGGCTCCGGCTCCGGCTCCGGAGAAAAAAATCGGCTCCGGCTCCGGCTCCGGCTCCGGGTGAAATGTTATGGCGGCTCCGACTCCGGCTCCGGCTCCGAGTAAAATGGTCCGGCTCCGGCGGCTCCGGCTCCGGCGGCTCCGGCTCCGACTCAGTACATCCCCTATGCAATCAATTAAATACGGGTGGAAGAAAAATTGGATTGGTTATACGCGTTACTCTTTGCCATGACCGGCTCATGACCGCGTCCCCGCGTAAACGCACCTCGGAGAGAACTGGCAGAACAAGGACTAGGAAGCGATGGCATTGGAAACGCAGTCGCCGCGAATCGGAGTTCACTGAACCATCGTAAGCTGACACCCGTCTCGGCAGAGACGGTGCTGGGAGTCGCAGTCCACTGCACTGGCTTGAAAACAATGGCCGTCACCTGATGACCGGTCCTCATGTTCTGGGGATGCAGTAGACGTGGGTGGGGGGGGGGGAGGAGCAGACAGGAAGTTGATTGCGTACTGTGGGATACTGGGGATATTCGGCTTTTTTCATTCACTTGATGGCCCATGACGTAAGAACATACCATATGTTTCACTGCCTTGTACTGTCAAACCGAACTAGGTCAATTATTTTTTTCCTCTTCAAAAAATAAAAAGGAGCCGGAGTCGCCCCCTTTTTTGGCGGCTCCGGCTCCGGCTCCGGCTCCGGTCTATATTGTTTCACGGCTCCGGCTCCGGCTCCGGCTCCGGGCAAAATATGCCGGCTCCGGCGGCTCCGGCTCCGACTCCGGCTCCGGCTCCGCATCCCTGCTTATAACCATTACCATCGGATTTGGCGTGAAAAATAAGCCATAAAACATGTGTCGCACGCCCATGTAGCAGAAAGTGAAAACCGTGACCTTTCGTGACCTGACCTGACCTTGACCTGTACCTAGTATGACCCCTATACGCACATGGTACCTTCACTAGGCCTTTGAGGTCATTTTTGGTGAGTTTCGAGCAGCAGCTGTCGATTCCGCTGTCCGTAAGCCGATTCATGCAAAACCCCTGAATTTGACCTTTGACCTGACCTTGACCCGAAAGTTGACCTCAATCCTAAAATCTTAAGAGTGCTTTGAGAAGGTCTCGTAGAGACCTTTCGAACGCCGCCTCGCGGGGTTCGATACGACCATTGGTTCTCGAGATAACAGGGGGGGGGGGGGTCGGATCCGACCCCCCCCCCCCCCAGGCTGATGTGGGTACGGAAATAGCCCAGGCGGTGCCGGGTTAAATGAAGTCGCATATATGATGCCTTCATAGCTTCTATTCATCTACATACAGGCCAGAATCACTGTGCTAAAAGCGTCCAGTACGGACCTTGTCAAACTAAAAGCCTGTCCAGTCAGCCACTGCCCCCAATTTGCTCTCCCGAACCATCGGAGGACTGGAATTGGTCACTGCTCCCCTGGGAGATCCTCTATTTGTCGTCTCCCTCGCCCCTTGTCAGTCTTGTCGGTCATTGTCGGTCGTTGTTGTTCGCTTTTAGCCGCTGTCGGTCGTTGTTGATCGTAACCTCCCACTCTCGACTGGCTTTTGAGATCATAGGTCATCGTCCTCTGCGTTATCGTCCCCGTCTGTACCGTGAATGGGTTCCGCGTCGTGTTATCGCTGCGAAGGATGACATTTCCTGTCGGCAAATTTAAAGGCGCGCTTGTGCTCGGTGGCTAGGCGCTCCAGTTGATAGTCTTGTTTCCTGGGTAGAGGCGTTGGTACGGAAATGGAACTGGGGAATCGTAGAGAGCTCGCTAATATCGATTTATGCAGGCATTCCTTGGTTCGGACGTCCGATGACAGTGCGTACTATTTACTACTTGCTTTCTGCGAGTAATGCGTATGAATTACGTCTTTTTCAAAATATATACGGCTGCATCGTCACGAATCATAAAATCGTTAATCGTTAGTAGTTAGATCTTTTTTTTACAACGGCGTTATGACTATTCTGTAGTAACGATTTCCGAAGGTTTTTGTTCTATTTACACATATTTATAACTTTATGTATTGTGTAGTTTCTCCGGTGTAGTGATCTACAGTCAGCAGTCAATGCACTTTATATGTTTCGAACGCTACTCACTCGGCCTGTTTTTTTTTTTTTTTCCCCCAGTGGCTTGCAGTGACCTATGCCGATACTTATATTTCTTACCCGACCACCAACATTTTCACCACCGTTTCTAACCATTCTGGTATTTCCCCAGCGGATCCGCTCTACCGTTGAAGAGACAGAGCAGAAACAGCTGCTGATGGACCTCCAGGTGGTGATGAAATCCAACGACTGTCCCTACATCGTACAGTTCTACGGCGCCATATTCAAGGAGGTGGGTGACGCTGCCAGGCTCGTGCCCGAGGCGCTCGGGTGCGCAGTGTGTGTGGTTGATGCGTAGGTATTTGGTGTCAAATTCAATGAAAGGCGGTCATTTTCTCATAACGATTATTTTCTTTTGCAGTTAGTTTTCCGGGGTGGTTGTGTGTCCGTGAATTTTTTTTTCGCTTTTTACAAAATGGATACACTGTATGCGATTTGTCTTTTTAGATAGGTGACATCGTTTTCTTTTATTGTTTCGTAAGCATGAAATACTTCAGCTCTCCCATATAAAAATGATCCCGGAACCAGATAGAGTCAGGTCAGCTTCCCAAATGCCAGCAGTGCTCGGTCGTGTCATCAGTCAGATACCGCCCCTGGTGCTGCTACCGCCGTGCTGTCTGCGTTGAATGATATACCTCGTCCCTGTCATACTCATATCCCGGGGCGACACCTGTACCCTCTCTGATTCATCGGGAGTGCCCCTCTGACTCAGCCATATCAGAATCTCCTTTCACTATCGCTTGGGTGGGTCCACGTCGTGGTGTCATTGTGGGTTCGTTTAACGCTGGCAGTGCGTACTGTGTTAGCGGGTAGCCTGAACTGAGTTGTTTAGTTACTGCATAATGGCTCATCTGTACTAGTTTCGGCATCTGTCCCTTAGCCATGCTGTCCCACTGTCTTTTTTTCTTTCTTGCCGCAGCCGAACTTGACTTTATTTCGCACATACTCGGATGTCAGTTGAAGGTATAAACTTCAGTGAGATCAGTGTCGGTAAATAGCATTACATACCGTCGTGCTGTCGTTATACAATAAACACGTTCGTTACGTCTAATACTACCAGGCATTAATTCACGTCTTTAATGAAAAAGAACCATAATTTTATATTGCAGACTGCAATCCCGTTTATTGATGTCATCGGCTTCCCTTTTGTGTCGGCCCGACTGTAATAAATCCCCTAACATTGCCCGCTGTGTATCCGTTCAGGGCGACTGCTGGATATGCATGGAGCTGATGGACACGTCGCTGGACAAGTTCTACAAGTTCATCTACGAGCACGGCCACTCGCGGATCCCGGAGAACATCCTCGGCAAGATCACTGTCGCGGTGAGTATAATTGAGCCTTACGGATGGCTGGTATCAATGCTAATTTAGATTGGGAAAACGTGTTTGTTTACATAGCAATTTTCATCGCTAGACGTGTGGCAGGTATTTGAATAAACATAGATTATCAGCCATTATTTTGTAACTGGCTGTTTTGTTTCCTTTTGATTACTGCCTGTTTGCCTCGCATTCCCTTTCTGCTGTTTAATATGTTTTGAGACCGAGAATTTCCCGTCGAGCCAGGCTGTTACGATGACAGGGGGATTCACCGCGATACAATGCTAGCACATTCCACGAACGCTAACCGCCGCCAACATTACACAGGCGGCTGGTGATCACATACATAATTGTTTTATGAAATCAGCCTGTGATTTGGGCCGAAGTTCGTGCTCGCAGCATGCAATAGGTGGTTCGTAGAAGGGATTTGTACATTGCAATTAGACTCGGCGTTCCGATACCGCATCGTTCTGAGAATAATTCATGCTACCATAGCTGGGGCAGAAGGTCGACGTGCAGTGCTAGTAACTTCATGATTATTTACGGTATTATTCATTTCTTCATGTCATACGTACAGCGTCTTTGGTGTGATGAATTGTATTTATATATTTGCAATGAATTATTATCTATTATCTTTCCTTGCATTTCCCTCCGCCCCATGCAGACTGTGAAGGCGCTCAACTACCTGAAGGAGCAGCTGAAGATCATCCACCGCGACGTGAAGCCGTCCAATATCCTGCTGGACAGACGCGGCAACATCAAGCTCTGCGACTTCGGCATCAGCGGGCAGCTGGTGGACAGCATCGCCAAGACGAGGGATGCCGGATGCAGGCCCTATATGGCGGTAAGTATCGATGAGACTGATATGTTAACATGTTAGTTCGGCAGCGGTATCTCTTTTTTAGAAAACTGCTTCCTTGATTTGTGATTGAATTTATCGATATCTCATTTCTAGCTTTCTATTGTTTTCGTCTCCATAATTCTTCGTTTTCACGACTTCTATTCTTGATAAATGACATTAAGGGTTTTTTTTAGAATAATAAGGAACCCTTGTTAGTTGTTTGCGATTCTCTTCCACTTACTATGTAGTAAATATTCACTTTCGCTCATGCTTTAGTAAACGTACAGAGAATATGGAGAATCGGAAGCTGATCTCGCTTCATTTGCCTAACCACTCATGCGGTAAAGCGTGTCATTCCTGTCCAGATGCGTTCTTTCCAGTAAATGTCCCAACAGGTTACGAAATACGAACCCATGAGGTAAATGGATGAACAGATAGACTTCTCATCTGTAAGGAAAAATGGACTCGTTAGTGCTAAACCATTCACGTGATGTCACTGGTTATAATCGAGGGACGAGCAGGAATCCTGCTCAGCACTCAGGAGTAGTCAGAGGCGGATCCAGCTCAGAGTTTTTTTTTTTGGGGGGGGGGGGGGGGGCAAACCATAACAATTTATCGATTCTTTCCATGCCTTGTCGATAGGCGTAATGTTAAAATTATGCCATTTGGGAGGAGGGGGGGCAAGTGCCCATTTTGCCCCCCCCCCCCGGATCCGCCACTGGGAGTAGTTACTCTTACAGTATGCATTGCTATTTGCTCTATGGGCAAATAATAAAGGTAAACAGAAATTAAGCCAACGCTAGATGAATTATTGCAAGAAATGATGATTAAACCGACTTTATTCTGTCCGCGTCCGTTTATCCCTGACCTTGACTCGTCAGTGGTCTGTCGCGGTTGACCCCTACCGCTTACGTGACCTGTCGTTGACCTTGACGTTGACCTGTCGGTGACCTTTGCCGGCAGCCGGAGCGGATTGACCCGACCAAGACGCGATTTTACGATGTCCGTTCTGATGTGTGGTCTCTCGGTAAGTGCTGCTTTCTCTTGTTCCAGTCCATTCTCCTTTCTTACTCTCCCTTCACCTCTCGTCTCTTCTCTCTTCCTGCTAGTTACGTTCTACCCCCTCCTTCCTTCACTAACAACCGCAAAATCAACGAAACGCTGATTTTCATGATACTTTGAATCTTTTTAAGAATTGTGATGGTACACTTAAAAAAAAAAATCCACGGATTTTCGTGACAGTGTTCCGATTACTGTACAATTATTGCTTTCTGGCCCTTGTCTGCGATGCTTGCTCTTGAATCTGTTGAACATTATCACGCCTCGGCCAGTACTTTGCCTGGTTTTCACCTGTCTCATCTCCCCAATCGCAGGTATCACGCTATTCGAGCTGGCCACCGGACAGTTCCCGTACCCTCGCTGGAACTCTGTGTTCGAGCAGCTGACTCAGGTGGTGTCTGGTGACCCGCCCCGCCTGGCCAGCTGCGATAACGGAAACACATTCACGGCAGAGTTTGTCGACTTCGTCAACACATGGTGAGTGGCGTAGTGGAAGCCAATGGGGGCTAGCGAGAGGATACTTGTAAGAGATAGGCGAGAGAATAGCGCCATTAAAGACGGGTGTTATGATGGCTTATGGATTGTTTTTGTGTGCGCGAGGAGGTTTGTTAAATTGTATTCATACCCTACCTACGAGAAACGATGACATGCGTTCATAATGTATGCGAAGATATCATTGTTTAGGGTCAGAAAGTGCTGAACTTTTGATGATCACTCGTCACCACTCCGCCGGTCCAGAAGCTATGTAACTTTATGCAACGCCCCTTTCCCTTCCCAATGGGCTGCTATTACGCTTGACACCTATCTCCCAAGTGTTGTCTCAGTTGTCTCTGAATCTAACTCCCCACCCCGCTCCTCCGACAGCCTGGAGAAGGACGAAAGCCGCCGTCCCAAGTACAACACCCTGCTCCAACACGCGTTCATCCGCCGCTCCGAGTCAGAAACGGTCGACGTGGCTGGCTATGTCAACATGTACCTGGACGCGGTGGCACACAACATGCCACCTGAAGGCGCCTCGTGCTAGAGCGGCGCCCCGGGCATCACAGAGACGCCTTGGAGAGTGTCCGGAATGCCGTGGGGCGCCCGAGTGTTCCAGAGGGCACTTACGTGCTCCTGAGATCGCCGGAGCCCTCGGGAACGTCGTGGAGTGCCCAGTGAGCGTCTCAGAGTGCCCAGCGAATGCCCCTGAGCGTTTGGACATCTCTGAGTGCGCCAGAGTGCCACGGAGTGTCCAGGAGTCTACAGAGTGTCCTGGAGAGCCGCTCCCAGGGCGTCTCCAAAGCGCCCACCAGAGCGCTCATCCAAGGTGCCAGTCGAGTCGGATGACTGATGCCGCGCTATAGGCTGTTTCCGTAGAAGTCATCTTATGTCTGGGCACTCATTGCTGAAGAAGAGGACGCAACATGGTGTCGAAAAGGGCAAGTCCAGTGTGCGTCCGATGCGAGAGATACGTGTGGGATCGCCTGCTCTGTGGATTCGATGTATCCAGCGTTCCGTTATGTTGGAATGAAAGTGGTGGTGTTCGTTGCACTGAAGTCATTATGAAAGAACTCCTACGTCCCGACTAGGGAGTCTTCTGTGGCTGCGCTGAACATCCCGTTTGCCAATGAACCCGCCTAGTGGAGGTCCCTTGCACGGAAGATCGGGTGATCGGAATAGTGCTCGTGAGTGAACTTTATCCAAAAGTGGTCAGAGTGCTTTACGATCCAGCGTATGTGGACTGACTTGGTTGAAACTCCCTGAATCGCCACGTCTTCTAGAACTATGCGCACTAGCATGAGACGCGACTATGTCCATCCGCCATGGGCCTGTCCAGAGACTGCGGTTATGTCCCATGCCCTGCTTCAGTAGAGGACAGTTGAGAGAAATGGACACCGTTAGGAAACGCAACTCCTGGTGCTCAGACGATGTCATCTGCGGAGGTTGCTGCGTCACACTCATTGACCCTTTGCTGAGTGTGACGGCTGGAAACATGGACTAAAACACCCAGGAGGTCTGAAGATGCACCAGCTGCGCTACAGCGCTCTCTGCTGGCGAGGGACGCCCCATTCTGCTAGGATTGAGCCAGAGTGGACCCAGCACTGTGCGTGTCTACTGCTAGTCGAGTCGCCGTCCCAGCTAGACGCGAATGATTTCGGAGACTGTCGCAGGCGCGGTGCCACGTCAGGAGAGTTGTGACGAGTGATGTGCTCCTCCGGCCCAGGACGGCCGAACCGCCGCCAGATTATTTGGTCCAGACTCCAGAGTGATTGCTGCGCTGTTTAGTCCATAGTGTTGTGCTGGAGTTTTAGGCGGTGAAGACACGGAAAGTCGTTGTCGATGACGTGAGAAGAGGAGGGAGGAAGAAAGGAGAGAGAGAGAGAGAGAGAGAGAGAGAGAGAGAGAGAGAGAGAGAGAGAGAGAGAGAGAGAGAGAGAGAGAGAGAGAGAGAGAGAGAGAGAGAGAGAGAGAGAGAGAGAGAGAGAGAGAGAGAGAGAGAGAGAGAGAGAGAGAGAGAGAGAGAGAGAGAGAGAGAGAGAGAGAGAGGAGAGAGAGAGAGAGAGAGAGAGAGAGAGAGAGAGAGAGAGAGAGAGAGAGAGAGAGAGAGAGAGAGAGAGAGAGAGAGAGAGAGAGGAGAGAGAGAGAGAGAGAGAGAGAGAGAGAGAGAGAGAGAGAGAGAGAGAGAGAGAGAGAGAGAGAGAGAGAGAGAGAGAGAGAGAGAGAGAGAGAGAGAGAGAGAGAGAGAGAGAGAGAGAGAGAGAGAGAGAGAGAGAGAGAGAGAGAGAGAGAGAGAGAGAGAGAGAGAGAGAGAGAGAGAGAGAGAGAGAGAGAGAGAGAGAGAGAGAGAGAGAGAGAGAGAGAGAGAGAGAGAGAGAGAGAGAGAGAGAGAGAGAGAGAGAGAGAGAGAGAGAGAGAGGAGAGAGAGGAGAGAGAGAGGAGAGAGAGGCGTGTGGTTGTGATTTCATGAGCCGGTTCACTCCTCCTGCGACTTTTGAGGCTGATGTATCGCTGTTAACTACGCTCACGAACGTAGGACATCGGAAAATACTACACTAGCCCGTGATGGAAGAAGCTACATCAGTCTACGCATCTACGCATCTTCCATGGCTGAACCCGTGGAAGCTACATCAAGGCCATGGCGGTTGATCTTTTGGAACTGATGATGGAGAAGAGCATTCCAGTGTGTGAGACTGCTGTACCCTGGGCAGTGCGAGTTCTAGTGAGTGTTTCGGTGAAGTCAGCTATCCCGTCCCCTGGGTAATAATTCTTCTGGCGATAGGTCGTATAGGATGTGCTGTAGAACTAGACTCTAATATTCACATTCCCGGTCCAGGAAGGCTTGTCCAAGTGTCGCCGGGGGAGGCTCCCTCCCGCTTATTGTACGTCGTGTGCAGGTTGATTTGTCTTGTTTTCCGACTTGTCGGTGCTTAATATGTCTGTGTACCCTTGCACGAACTCTTTATAGTTTTTATTCGGTTCTTTGAATTTGTGAGGCATTCATTTTACGTGACTTCTTGCGTTTGGAACTGTATCAAGATAGTGTTAATCTTTCATGGGACCTTTTTTTAGCTCCCGACTTAGATACCTTTATGTGATGCGAGTGTTTGGTTCAATTTTATCCGAATATGTCCCCGTGTCCATGAGTCGTTTATGAACCATCCCTTCATATAGTTTGGAGCCGAGCTGACACGTCTTGTCAAGGCCTTCAGGCCAACTATACCTATATCTTTATCATAGCTGCGTATCGATCAGTCAGAACTCAATTGGGTGTGTTTGAACTCTTGCTTCCCAGGACGTTCCTATGTCCATATTCCACCAACATGTCCGTAAGATGGCCCGTCCTAAACTCTACGCGAGTCGCTTTAAAGTTATCCAAGGATCAACGGCAAATGTCAACTCGCCACCACAACCCAATGTGGACGCATTCAGCGAGACAGGATTTCCGACTTTTTCGCAATGGCGGGCTGTGCGCATCCCGCGAAGTCAGTTTGTATTTTATGTGACTGATATTTTCGGTCGAGAGGCGATAGTAGCGATGTCGATTGTTTGTGTGGGATACGGCCGCGCCCTGAGGTAGTGAGGAGCGCTCGTCAGTGACAGTTCACGAGGCGTTTAGTGATGTTTATGTTGTACTCCGCTGCCCGGCTGCCGCGTCGATGGCAAATACATACACTACCGACGACAGATGCAGACAGAAGGCTGCTTTTGACTTTTGAGTGATATTTATCACAGGGGCATGTGGAATGTGGATGGAAAGGCTTTTTGCTAACAAGTAACAGTTTATTTGGGATGACATGCCGACCAGCATTGAGCTTCAAATGCCCAATGCTGTGAGCCTCAGTCCGTGGCTCCGCCCTACACGAAATGCAAATCCACCCACTATTCGAAAAACCGCACTGCTGTCAAAGACTGGTGCAAGGCTGCAGTGAGGTCTTGGCGGCGAGATGGCATGCATTTATCAGTTGATCTGCAAAGCTTTCTCCACTGCTTGTTCTGGCATCGCGAAACCCGTTGTCCAAGGCCATCTTTATGAATTTTGCGTGTAGGCCTGATGAAAGTGGTTCTCCTACAGCTCCAATCAGGGTATATAAAAACACTCCGGGCACTGGCTCCAATCATGCATTCATTTGCAGTTCAATAGCGATTCATTCCTGAGTCATTCATTCTTGCGAACTGCGTAACCGGACAAATCTTCGTATGGCAATTCTTCGTCGCGCAATTCCTCGTCCGCATTTCTTCGTCCGCAAATCTTCGTCGGCGCATTTATTCGTGTCGCATAACTTCGTCTCGCATTTCTTCGTAAGCGCAAATATTCGTAGCGCATTTTTTCGTATCCGCATTTCTTCGTACGCGCATTTCTTCGTCAAGCATTTTTTCGTCCACGCATTTCTTCGTCTACGCAAATCTTCGTCCGCATTTCTTCGTCCACGCAAATCTTCGTCTGCGCATATCTTCGTCCGCAAATCTTCGTCTCCGCAAATCTTCGTCCGCAAATCTTCGTCCGCATTTTTTCGTCCACGCATTTCTTCGTCTACGCAAATCTTCGTCCGCATTTCTTCGTCCACGCAAATCTTCTTCCCGGCAAATCTTCGTCCGCAAATCTTCGTCCGCATTTTTCGTCCACGCATTTCTTCGTCCACGCATTTCTTCGTCCACGCAAATCTTCGTCCGCAAATCTTTGTCTGCGCATATTTTCGTCCGCAAACCTTTGTCTGCGCTATCTTCGTCTCCGCAAACATTCGTCCACAAATTTGGTTCAATTAAAACCATGAACAAATATCAGACCATCAAGTGATTGACGAATTTAATGCATGGCATGGATGATCGAAACTTTTGAAGTCAGGTAGATGAGGTCTGTCAGGTGAAGCTATTGTATTTGGGAGCCGACAATTGTAACATTCCATATCATTTGTGTCCCGGACATTCTTTTTTTCGCGGTCGATGATTGATGACAATATTATCTCTTGTACCCTCGCCGGCATAGGCGCGGAACGGGGAGGGCACCGGGGCACCGTTCCCCTCTTTAATTTTGGCCTTTTAACAGTAGCCCTATGGGCGTTGCATGGAAAGAATGGGACTAAAAGTCGGCAGTGCCGTGCCCCCCCCCTTAATTGAAGGTGTTCCGCCGTTACTGCTCGCCGGACCTATTTGTTTTCTACATACCTACACGCCGGCCGAGGGGGGGGGGCGGGTACGACCCCACCCCCCCCCCCACCGCCGTTTCGCCACTGGCATGGAGCTAGCGCGTCGCGGAAAAAACGAGCGTGTGCGCCGTTACGAGACGCAGAGATTAATACCCGATTTTAAGGCCTTCTAGGTCAGGGGTCGGCTTACAGCCCGCGGGCCGGATCCGGCCAGGAGGGTGACGGTTGGATCCGGCCCGCGACCATCTGACGTCCGGCCCGAGCAAGTTTTGTCTAGAAGTAGAATTAGACAAGAACACCCGCAAATAGTGTTTATAAACTCATGAAGTGTGCAAAGGAAGAACTATTGTGCCAAAGCACATTTAAGTCACTTTAATATCGGAGTCGATTTCTGAAGGAACCGCGGGCCGGAACACGATTTAAGTCGCTGATACCAGCCGCGGGCCGGACGTCAGATGGTCGCGGGCCGGATCCAACCGTCACCCTCCTTGCCGGATCCGGCCCGCGGGCCGTAAGCCGATCCTTGACCTAGAAGGCCTTAAAATCGGGTATTAATCTCTGCGTCTCGTAACGGCGCACACGCTCGTTTTTTTCCGCGACGCGCTAGCTCCACCAGTGGCGAAACGGCGATGGGGGGGGGGTCGTGTACCCGCCCCCCCCTCGGCCGGCGTGTAGGTATGTAGAAAACAAATAGGTCCGGCGAGCAGTAGCGGCGGAACACCTTCAATTAGAGGGGGGGGGCACGGCACTGCCGACTTTTAGTCCCATTCTTTCCATGCAACGCCCATAGGACTACGTCTGTTTAAAGGCCAAAATTAAAGAGGGAACGGTGCCCCGGTGCTTTCCCCGTTCCGCCGCCTATGCCGGCGAGGGTACAAGAGATTATATTGTCATTCATCGACCGCGAAAAAAAGAATGTCCGGGACACAAATGATATGGAATGTTACAATTGTCGGCTCCCAAATACAATAGCTTCACCTGACAGACCTCATCTATCTGACTTCAAAAGTTTCGATCATCCATTCCATATTGCATTAAATTCGTCAATCACTTGATGGTCTGATATTTGTTCATGGTTTTATTGAACCACATTTGTGGACGAATGTTTGCTGAGACGAAGATAGCGCAGACAAAGGTTTGCGGACGAAAATATGCGCAGACAGAGATTTGCGGACGAAGATTTGCGTGGACAAAGAAATGCGTGAACGAAAAATTCGGACGAAGATTTGCTAACGAAGATTTGCGGACGAAGATTTGCGGACGAAGATTTGCGGACGAAGATTTGCCGGGACGAAGATTTGCGCGGACGAAGAAATGCGGACGAAGATTTGCGTAGACGAAGAAATGCGTGGACGAAAAAATGCGGACGAAGATTTGCGGACGAAGATTTGCGGGGACGAAGATTTGCGGACGAAGATATGCGCAGACGAAGATTTGCGTGGACGAAGAAATGCGGACGAAGATTTGCGTAGACGAAGAAATGCGTGGACGAAAAAATGCTTGACGAAGAAATGCGCCGACGAAGAAATGCGGAAACGAAGAAATGCGCTACGAATATTTGCGCTTACGAAGAAATGCGAGACGAAATAATGCGACACGAATAAATGCGCCGACGAAGATTTGCGGACGAAGAAATGCGGACGAAGAATTGCGCGACGAAGAAATGCCATACGAAGATTTGTCCTGGAATCTGCGAACTGTGATGACTGGCGAGTTGTAAACAATCATGTTCACTCATCCCATGCGATATTCGATGTTTCTTACGTCACGGAATAAAAATTCCTGTTGTTGTCTTTTCGTAATGAACGACGCTTTGACATTTTCAAATTAAATATGATAAGATTTAAATATTGGTTAACTTGGTGAAAACAACGGCAAAAAATGGTAAACATTATGAATAAATGTCTAATGATGTCATATAATTTTGCCTAGTCATGCTAATGCACTTCTCGTCTTTTCTCGAACTGAATCATCCTTGCTTATAATCGAATGCGGCGAAATAGCGGCGCACTTGGCTGACGTTCTTTGTGGATGGTGTACGTGGTTTTACTTTATTTTAAAATTCGTTTGGTATTTGTTGCATTATCCTTCAAAAAGCCTAAACAAGCTAATCCCAGGGTCGTCACTTAACAGGCTCTACAGCTGCAGCAACGAGACACGAGTGAGGAGAAATGGAATTTCCTGATCTGGGGAAACACTGTTCGGAGAGCTTTTGCAGGCAAATCGACTTCTTGCCTGTAAAATGTGATGCATGTCAGAAAGTTTTCTGTAGTGATCATTTCACGTACAGCTCGCATCAATGCCCTTCTGCGTACAAGAAAGATGTCCAGGTGCCAGTCTGCCCCCTGTGCAACGTCCCAGTACCCATGAAGCGGGGGGACATGCCAGATATCTCTGTGAGTGCGCACATTGACAATGACTGCAAAAGTGATCCAGCTGTGAAGAAGAGGAAAATCTATACAAACAGGTGTAACAAGAAGGGCTGCAAGGTGAAGGAACTGATCAAAGTCACCTGTGACAGCTGCCAGCTCAATTTCTGCCTCACTCATCGGCATCCCCAAGATCACGAGTGTGGAGGTGCCGCAAAGGGAGCTTCGACAAGCAGGGCTGGCCTGGCTGCCATGCAGAGGCTTCAGGCATCCAAGGCAGCCCCCAGATCCACCGGAAGCAGTTCATCTTCCAACTCGGGCAGCAGGTGGAGTAGAAATGTGTCTCGCGCCTCTCCCGCAGAGCTGCAAGGGAACCTGACTGAAGATCAGGCACTGGCCAGGGCTATCCAGGAGTCTCTGTCGGAATCCAGACCAATGACCCAGGAGGAAATGGACCGTGAGATCGCCCAGGCCCTGGCCGCTTCAGATGAGGCTCAGAGACCAGCCGCCAGAGCACAGAGACCAACCAACAGCTGTGCTATGGCATGATTGTGATAAATGATAACTGGTTTGTCAGATACCTATGTACTTATTTCAGACATCTATTTTTGTGATGTGATTACTGATTAGTTGGACAGGCAGTACAAAGTGCACAGTGCATGTCTGTGGTATTCCAGAATCCACACCATAATTGCTGGACATGATGTGATCACTGAGTAGGAAGCAAAACCTATTTCAAATGTTATCGCTGCCTTGTATTGCAAGCTGACTCACACTTATTTGCTACCTTCACCATTCATGGTTTGTGTGGTGAAAGCTTTGAATGTGATAATTCCTTGGAATAGGTGGAAATCTGTGTGTGTCACCATTCACTATTAGTGTCTCTAGGTGACCATTTGACTAGGTAACTTTGGCTCAGTGAATTAGAGCAGTGTGACTCAAAACTGCGGCACTGTTACATCATGCAGAATTTTGAACAAGCACCTTTACCTTGTATTGATAGCTTATTGCGTTTGCTTCTGAGTGATATGTGAAATAAATGGAGATAAACTCAGTGTCGATGTGTGGGGACTGTTCAGATTGTCGGCTATCCCATCGTAACAAATGCCTAGCTTTTAGAAGCTTTGCATATTTCGTTCCCAGTATTCGATACACAGGCCGGGCCTTTGCAAAACACGGACGCATTACTCGATTTATGTCCGTCGATGGTCAATATCTTCACAGGTGGCGCTACAGCTGTCACTGTAGGTGGCGCTGGGCTCGCTGATCGAGACCGGCTGCTCCGCCTCTTGCCTGCTGAAGTAATTTATCGTATCCGTATGAGCTGTCTGCCGTTTATCGTAAGATGATCCAATAGCTTGATGTACGGATGCTAATAGCCACGCCCTGCTGTGTTGTGATAGACGGCTGGCAACCATTCGTCAAGCTTAACGACTCGCCACTTTTATCACTCGCTCAATCTTTAATAAATTTATTAAAAAAGAGCGAAAAACAACGCTCGTGAAATATGCGAGCTGATGGGCCGTGCTCTTTATCGTTTCATCTTTGCAACTTATGGGCGCAAAGTGGTCATTGAGTCAGCCATTCTCGTACCCCATTGCACCAGCAATCTATATATCTGCAACATCACTGCTTGAAACGATATTGACATTGTTAGGCTAGAAACCGTATTGCACAGCACGAATGTCTGGCTATCACCTTTATCTGACCATCTTATTATTATTCCCATCGCATGCGGTCTGGAGGACCTCCCTCCCCTCCGCTGTCTTCCTTAGCATGCCTGACCTACCTTCCATCCGGTGTCCTCCCCACCAATTTCCTCCCGGGCCTCTCCTCCCCTGATGAGCTCCGTGCGTGCCGAGTTTCATCCTCCCAGGGGGCTGGGAGCCGGTCTCGACGCTGACAAGAAGTCGACCGGTGAGGGGGGGGGGGACTGAGAGAAACGATAGAGGGAGAGAACAGACGACTCGGAGATGAAGGGTCGTTTGGCAGAGACCAGAGTGGCGGAAGGGAAATAGCTTACCTCCCGTTTCTTTTTTATCAAACGTATTTTCGAATCAAGCGTGAAAAACGCACATTTGAAGACACATTACAATTGAAAAGGAGGCATACCTTTCGTTTACCTTTCCAGTGCTGCAATCCCCCACCACCACCTCTCCTGGTTGTTGGTTTTCCGCGGTGCACTGTACTCGGGTCAAAAAAAAAAGTTTTACCCCTTTTCCCTCTTCCTTATCTTCGGGGCACCGACCGGTGGGAAACGGTTGACAGAGTTTTCTCTAGTGCACCTTTTTATCTAGTCATAATACCAGCTCTATTCTTTTCTTATTGGCTCGGTAAAAAATAGTAAACCAGAGGATACGGTGTTAGGACACAGTATAGGGAGAATATCAGGCTAAATATTTCTCCTTTATCAGGATACCATATCTGTCTCTGATGCTATCCCCCCCCCCCCCGTTGCTACGTCAATCAACCAACACCTTTTCAGAGAAGGGGAGCATCTGGTCTCTTGGGGATCGTGTCTATCGGGCTCCATTAGGAGCGTTCGGTCAGCTGATTGGCACACGCCCCTGCTGGCAATGCCTCGAGGCGATGCCCCAAGGCAATGCCCCAAGGCGGTGCCCCAAGGCGGTGCCTGCGGCAGTGCCTTTGGGGATGAGCGATGGGCTCCAGTAAACGATGCTCCCGACGGGGCGACCGACGGCGAAAGAACATCAGTGGCCAAATAAGCGGCTGGGGGTCTAGCCTGAGGGCTGCAGGGCCTGGTCAATGGTTGGGGATTTGGTCCGCATGTGGACCAGTGTAGGTAGTGGTCTGTGAGTAGACCAGCCCATCACCATCAGTGGACCGGTTGCAATGGAAGGTCAGGCCTTTTTGAATGCATTCAAAATAGGGATACATTCGCGACTAGGTCGGTACTCGGTACCTACTGGTAGAATGTTTTCAAGCTTGCAAAACTGCAAATGACTGTAAGTTAACCCTCGCCGGCCGAGGGGGGGGGGCGGGTGCCGCCCCCCCCCCCATAGGGTTTTTTCGCGATAGCTCCGAACACGCTGGCGATAGAGAGCTGAAACTTGGCATACCTGACCTTTGATCCAAGCCACATCTTTTGACACCAACCGCATTTTTGGGTAAGGTCAGGTCACTGACCTATGACGTCATAAGTGAACCTCTGCACGGTCTTCAGATGTCGCAACTTCGCAACGCCCTCACTGCCAGAGGAGATGTCACAGGGAAATGAAACTTGCAGGATCTATTATCCATTATGAGTCCCACAACTTGTATATCTCGGATTTTTCCTAAAGGTCATATGAGGTCAGGTCATTTTCGTGACCTCACCATTATAAGTCAATGGGGAAAAATGAAAACTGCTATTCTGGCGCCGGGAACGATCTCTAACTATCTCAAGCACACAGAATCGTGATTTGATGCACTCCTTGCAAGGTTAGATGCGTCACTTTTGCAATGTTGACCTTGCGTGACGTCATTTATGACGTCATCAAGGTCATATTAGTTTTTCGTCAATAACTCTTGATCAAATTGAGCTAGCGAGTCGGGAAAGCCACCAATGGACTCAGGAAGACCTGCCGAATCGAATGATATGCGACATGACCTCTTTCGACCAACTTCGTGACCTGGAGGTGCTGACCTGACCTTGACCTGAGGTCAACACCCCAAGTTGACCTGACCCGGACAAAAAGTATATCATTCGACGCGCCTGAGCGAGACGAACACGATGCTGCCAAAATCGGCGCTCTGCGGCCGTTTTTTGCGAAGTTATTCACCAAAAACTGAACCGTACCTTGGGGCACTTGACCTGACCTCAGAGGTCACCGGTTGACCTAGGACCTTAAAATCGGGTACCAATCTCTGCGTCTCGTAACGGCGCACACGCTAGTTTTTTCCGCGACGCGCTAGCTCCACCAGGGGCGAAACGGCGAGGGGGGGGGGTCGTACCCGCCCCCCCCCCCCCTCGGCCGGCGCGTATGTAGAAAACCAATAGGTCCGGCGAGGGTTAATGCAACGAATGGCCATGCTTGCGGGGCAGCCGTATTGCAATGTCAGTAGGCTGCACTTGTATGTAATTTATCATCTCGTGATAAATGCGGTACTGCTGAGGTGATTTATCAATCGCCAGCTGTGTGGTCTCAGGACTGTCAAACTCGGCGTGTGTGAAACACATGCAATAGTGGAACAGCTGCATATAACCGTCGCAATCCTATTGATGTTAGAGCTTTCAGCTTTGGCTTCGAGAGCTTTGGCCGAGCCCTATAGGATGTTTCAGTCGCACTTTTGTGACCCGCGCCAATCAAACATTCACCGTCCTGAGACTAAATGCTGTAGACCCAAGGACAATTTTCTCTCATGCCATCTTCTCAGTCAACAAAAACACAGTGGCCCCCACATTATCATCAGCGTCACGCCAAGTGTGGATCGCTAATGATTGTAAATCCATACATACCTGCATTACACATACGGTAAATAATTAAATATGCATACATACATGCCATATTGCTTACCATTCTACTACCATACTTACCAAGACGTCTCCGGTCTCGGTAAGTCTAATAAGTCGTAAGTCGGTTGAAGCATATACCGTCGGAGCGACTGGCATATGCGACATGGCCATCTTGTTTTAGTCAATAGCCTGTCACGCCACAGGGCTCTCCAGAGAATAGTCCTGATAGCTATCACTAGTCGCCACTATAGGTACCACCAATATGGAGCCAGAAAGCGATATGGGATGGGAATGCGGATGTATTCCGCTCCGTGCTGAAAGCTAGAAGCATGGAATAGATGTTTAGTTTGGACGGAACAAAAGATTGAATACCTTTAATGATTGTCAAAAAGTTTATTTTGTTTCGGGACATTGGTTTTAAAGCATCATAAATCGTGCCCGTCGAGGACTTCATTAGGGATGAGAAACCTAAGCTGCATACGGCTTGCTATTTAGATAAACTCACACCGCCGGTCTATAAGATCAAGAATGGTGCTTCAACCGATCATTACAATCACATACTTCTTTATAATAGATAAGTCTGCGTTACAACTTACAAGTTTACAAAAATACATACATTCATCCTATGCTAGTAAAAAAAGACCGGCACCATAGTTGAGGGTGACGGAATACTGCATTCAATGTAATTCTATTTATCTCCGGTCCCCCATCGGTACTGAATCCCAGCAGGGGGAGCTCAGCCACGATCTATCTTACTAATCGCCTCTGGCACGGTTGGCCGGCAGGGGCACTTCCCCTCCTCCCCTCCTCCCCTCCGCTCCCCTTCCCCTCCCCTCCCCTCCGCTCCCCTTCCCGCGTGCGCGATTAGCGACGCTTCAGCTGCGATGCGTGCTCCAGCAGCGCTGATGGGCGATGGCAGCCAGGAGAAGAGAGAGAGAGAGAGAGAGAGAGAGAGAGAGAGAGAGAGAGAGAGAGAGAGAGAGAGAGAGAGAGAGAGAGAGAGAGAGAGAGTAGAGAGAGAGAGAGAGAGAGAGAGAGAGAGAGAGGGTGATGGTCGAAGGGTCCCCGTGCTATCTGCTCCCTTCCTCTCTACTGTTTCATCCTGTCTGTCGTGCAGACAATATTACTTCAGTGCAATGCAATGGAACAATAGTGAGTACATTATTCGTGATAAACATTTGTTTATTTTTGCAGAATTTTCACGTCCCATCGCCAACCGGTGATTGCGGCGATCATAATTTATCTAAAATATTTTTGTGTCACTAAGTGCAGGCGTCGTTCGGCAGTTTCTTACTTACTGTGCGAATTTATGTTGTAATGACCTTGTTTGTACGAGGGTTTTTACTTTCTACAAAAAAAGAACTTCGCAGCCATCATCCGTCTCTTATTCGTTAGGTATAGTGGAACATATCCCGTGCAAGTTTAAAATCTGTATTCAACGCCACACATGAAGGTAGCATCCCTCTTGTTCACAGCTCTCGATGCTCCCATCACGAGAAGCTCAGCGGATATTGTTTTTGCGTCTTTTGCAGCCTCTGGTGACCATTCCACGCGGCACAGCTCATTTCCTGTGGTCATGGATCGTATCCTGGTCTGAG